TTTTACAAAAACATACAGTATACCTTTATTTAGAATACATCCACTTACAGTATCTGAAAACGTGTAGATACAAACCTCAGCTCCAGAACCAACACTCCTTTAGGGAACTATTAAATCATCACTTTTACATGTTTGAATATTCCATCAGTGTGCTGAAGCCAGCGGGTAGCACAGGACATATAATCACATATATCAGTTCTGTGCAGAATCTGACACCCACAAGCAGACAGAGACCACCACTGTACTGGATGTACCAATCGAATGTCCCCCACAACATGTTACATAACACCTGCAGCACATGAAACAGTGTTATTCAGCTGTAGCATTTCAGGCGCTCATGTTGTACATTGTTCTGCAGGGAATCTTATGTCCTACATTTCTAGTCCTTGATGTTAAATATCCCTCATTTGTTTCTCTCGCTCAGCCTGTAAAAGTTTGAAGGGAAGCATATAAAAAAAAATATACATAGGCAGTATGCAAGGAGAGGATTGTCAAGGGGTTTCCCGAGATGATATGGCTGTACACACAGCTGGCATACCACCCTATGAAGGGTCACATGTATGTGTTGTAGGGGAAGGCACATGTATTCTATTTCCAGAACCAGTCCTGAGCCCCTTTAATCCCCCCGACTTGCCGCCATCGCCATGGGCAGAAGAGAAAGAAAGGCCCCCCGGTCTGCCCACCCCACCGTGGGGAGTAATGTCTCTGAGATTGAGTTGCAGGTTTACTGAAAATAGATTGTGAGTGGAAGAGTCTTTTCTGTCAGGCAGACAGAGAGTTTGATAGAGACGATCTCAGCTTAGGAGACAACTGTGTTAGTGCTGCGCTACAGGGGAAAAGACTAGATTCAGGCGTTTCGCTGAGGTAAGTCCTCACATTGTGTGTGTGTGTGTCTGTGTTTTTCGTGTGCATGTGTGTGTTTTTTGTGTGCATGTGTGTATGGGTACAGAGATGTGGGTGTGTGCACATGCTGCCAAAAGCTGGTTCCAAACAAATGATGCAGCTTTGTTGGTCCCTTTGTGTCATTGAGATGCTCACTTAAAAATCATCTTTTTCCCTGCAAGAAAGGCTTTTTCAGCACTGGGTGGTATTTCACCAACAAAAAGCTAACAATAATAACTGTCCTTGTACGTCTGTGTGTCTATTATGCATTTAGATAGTGCAGAGGATACTGGATTTCATAGTTTAAGCAGCACATATGCAGTTGTATCACTTTAATGTCAACTATGCTGTGAGTTGATATTCTGCAGAAGATTTTCCCCCTTTATTAATAATGAAATTATATATAAAATTCCACAAGTAAAGCTCTGCTGGATAATAACCTGGGAATAATCTTTTTGTTTATTTATTTATTTATTTTTGTGAAGCTTAAGCTTTGTGTGTGTGTGTGTGTGTGTGTGTGTGTGTGTGTGTGTGTGTTGCATTCAGTGTGTATTCGTGTAAATAGGGTGTGAAGAGCAGGCCAGGGGTGGGTGTCAGAGTGTGAATTGAACATTTTCATGTAGTGGAGGGCTTTAACCTTTTCAACCCACGGAAAACCCACCACCGGATCCATCATTCACATGCAGGCAAACATTCAAACCCATATAAGCCTTTTTTAAAAGTCTAGTCAGGCTCTCGAGTCAAGTTCCCATGACACCACATATGTCATGCTAGATTCAGTGGTAGTGTGTATAAAATGATGCAGAAGACATCTAGAATTTTCTATTTGATGTGATGTTAAAGCACTGTGGTTTGTAATATTTCACTCAGTGTAAGCATGATATATTGTAGCTCCAAGCCAAAATGTGCTGTCTATGGTATTGCTGACATTTTTCTAACTTTGAAGCTATTTAAGAAGAATCAAATATTAGAGTTTCCAAAGGTGAAATGAGATGCCAGGAGCCACAGCAGCTCAGTGAGTAATATTAAGCTTTGTGGGCATCTTTGTGTGTACTATGTCACTTGCATGTGCATATGGTATACTGTGTCTGTGTATTTGCAACACGGTGAATAACAAAATAAAATAAAATAGCTCAATATACAGTGTATAATGTGCAAAGTTGTGCAAACAGAGTGGAATTTGTTTGAAGCAGAAACACTTAAGCTGAGAGTCTCAGTCAGACTGAGGTGTGGAGTTGAAAAGAGCTGTAAGGAGTTATTGCTGTGGGCAGGAAGGATGTCCATGTATTGGTCCTTATGACAGCAGAGCTGAACCAGTATGTTAGAGAAAGTGCTCTGCTGCCTGCCCAGTATGTGGTGGAGAGGGTGTTCAGGTTTATCCGTAATGGATAACAGTTTGTTCTGTGCCCTCCTCTTCAACACAACTTCAAAGCTTCCTGGTTTGTAGCCATCTACTGAGCCAACCTTCTTGATGAGTTTATTCAGTTTGGTGGTGTCACACGTTTCGATGCTGCTCCACCAGCAGACGACAGTGAAGTACAGTGCACTGGGCACAGCAGACTGGTAGAAGATTTCTAACATCCTGCTGCACGTGTTGGAGGATTTCAGCTCCCTCAGGAAATGGAGTCTGCTCATCCCCTTCTTCTATACAGTCAGAGTGTTGGTCTTCCAGTTCAGTCTGTTGTCAAGGTGGACGCCCAGGTGCTTGTAGTCCTCCACCACATTAACATCCTCTTCCAGAATACACAGGGCCTGTGTAGCCGTCCTCCTCCTTCTGAAGTCGATCACCGTCTCTCTGGTCTTGGCCACGTTCAGAAGCGTATTGTTTTTCCAAACCACTCCACAAAATCATCTAACAGCGCTCTGTACTCCTCCTCCTGCACATCACTTATACCCCCAACCACTGCATGGTCATCAGACAATGTCTGGAGGTGGCATGAGCCAGAGTTCAACTGTTCAAAGTCTGAGGAGCACAAAGTTCTTTCCAAGAGTGATGCATTTGTTTGTTAGTGCATGGACATAACTGCTAATCACTGTAGCAGTTACGATGCTGCATATTTACTGCACAAGTTGGAGAGGAGAAAAGAGGGAAGAGTGAAAAGAAGAGACATATAGTCGAGCACATTTTACTTTCAAAGAAGCCCAGCTGCTGCATTAGCTGCAGGGCTATAAGCTAAACTAGCTAGTCTTGTTCAAGATTCTTAACAAAAGTGGCATACAGAGATAAAAGGGGCACTCCACTGATTTTACATGTTGAGGACAATTTGCTTGAGGATGGTACTTAAGATGCTATCCAGGGTTGTTTGGAGCTTTACCCATGAAGGGACTAAAGGTCAGGATACCTTACCACTCTTAATCATTCTCTCTTTTTTTTTTTTTTTCTTTTTTTTTTCTAAATGGTCTGTCTCCCGGACTTTAAGTACTAAACTGCAAAGGTGTCCTTAAATATCCTTCATATTCTCTCACAAATATGTGTGTATGAGTTTCTGTTTGCAGTTTTTTAATTTAATTACATTTATTACAGAAAGTCATAAAATGGTGAAAAACATCCATCACAATTTCCTATAGTCCTATGTGTTTTTGCTTAATAAATAACATCAGCGACTAATTAGGTTTACTGTCCATCAACTGATGGATTAATAGACAGGCAAACAGGCAAAACTACTTTATGTCATGTCTGTTAGCTTTTATGCCATCTTTTGTGTTATGTCTCATTACACCAACAAAAAAAAAAAAAAAGATGTCAGGTTACTCAGTTAGTCATGCGAATGATTTGTCTCACATTCTTATTATGAAAATAATCCATAGTTGCAGTCTTGGAATAAATAAAAGACTGTACATGGAATTGTGGAAATATTCGTATGTTTGGTTTATATATCATGTTTGAGAGAGGGCATTGTTTTCAGTGAGGTGTACTACTCCATGTTTTCCCACTGTGTAGCTAATGTATTCACACTCTCAGACTATCATGTTTGTCTCATCATTATAAGAACAAAATGCTTTTCCTGTCTTGACCGATCCCTGCAGACGGGGACGGGGCTCCTCTGCGAGAGAATAAGCTAAATTTAGAGCCAAAAAAGTGTTTGTGCTGTCAGACGTCTCATATGCGGGAACTTAATGAAAACACGTCTGGCTATATGAGTCCATGCGGCTGCTCTGCCAACTCTGTCCTGTCTCTTACCGCTCGGTTGTGGGTATGTTTTGTCAGGGATCCACTTGTCTGAATATATTTAATTCCTCCTTCATTTTCTTCCCTCAGTCTAATTTCATTTTGTCATTAGCCCAGTCAAGCAGAGTTGTGCTTTTTTCATTTTTTTTTTTTTTCACTCACATGGTGCTAATGGGTAGCTAGCATCTGTTCCATCCAGTACATATACTGTTTTAGGATCATTTATAGACAAACCCCCTAACGTTTATCTCCTCTGAAAACAGCATGTAGCTAGTTATAATAATTAGTCTCCCCTTGCTCTCCACTTTTATCAAAAGGCAATTGGAGGTCACTTAAAGATGAATTTTGTCTTTTTCAGGGAGTGAGGCAGGCAGCAATTGAAGTAAGACTTAAGGCTGCCGTTGCACTGCTGCTAAAACAAATGCTGTCTCTTTATTCCGCTGTACTGTTAAATTTTGCAGTGGAGTTATGCTAGTGCTGAACATTTGGGAGCCAGCGGGGCTTGTTGAGAGCATGAATAAAAGAGTTCCTGGGGTGGAGTGGTGCAGGATCCTGCTGCGCCAGATTTAGATCTGGAGCAGAGGGGAACAGGAGGGAGGAGAGAGGGAGCAATGAAAGAGGGCAAAAAGAGCTGCTGCTTGGACCGCTGACCATCTGTATTGAGTATCAGAAGTCATAATATCCCTCTCACAGTCTGCATTTAGCAAATTGTTCAGGACAATCTGCGTGACATAACTCTACTCCAATTTAATATCCCTGTTTGTATGTGTAACCAAACCTCCTCTCCCCTTTGCAGACCTGGCCCTCGTTCAATAGTTAATGTCATCAACTAACTATGCTGAGCTATGTGAGGGGTTGTGTGTTTGTGTTATGGAGGTGCATGATGTCACCTGTGTTGACTTGAGGCGGGCGGTTTTGTGACCTGTCGGCGTGTGTGTTTGTGTGTGTTGATGTTCCAGCTGAACTCTCCGATGAACTCGGTCAGCAGTACGGAGGACATTAAGCCCCCGCTGGGCCTCAACGGTGTGATGAAGGTGCCCGCCCAGCCCTCAGGCACAGCCCTGTCGCTCACAAAACACATCTGCGCCATCTGTGGTGACCGCTCCTCAGGTGAGTGACATCAGACTGCAGTGACCATCTGTACTGTCCGCACAGGAACAATGAAAAACACCAAACTCAAAATAACTGAATTTGATATATCTACAAAATTACCCCTTCTGAGACATATTAAAATTAATAAGATGTAATTATTGATTGGAAATGGCTGTTTGAAAGTGCGCAGAAAGTCCAGGGAACTGTGTATCTGGAAAATGGTATAAAAATAATTTCTCAGCAGCTGAGATTCCATCATCACCAAATGAAAAGAAAATACGACTACCCAGAGTATAACTAAAACTAGTGTTCTGACCACACTGAGAAACCTCCAAAGAAGATCCAAAGATGAACTCTGCTCAGAGAACAAGCCCCATGGGCCGCTTTGGCAGAACTACATACTGCAGCTTCTTGCAGTGGGAGATCTTCCTGGAAGGACAACAGTCAGTGGAATTCTTCACAAATCTGGGCTAAATGGCAGGAAGGCCAGAGAGAAGCCACTCCTGACAAAATGCATGGGAGCACAGCAGCACATGAAATCATGAGGCAAACGATTGTATGATCTGATGAAACCAAACCTCAATTCAACTTCGACTGAAATAGAGAAGCACTGTGTCTTTAGGGAAACCAGGCACAACCCATCACTCATCATCTCATAGCATCCCTACCGTAAAACATGGTGACACCAGCATCGTCACAGTGTGAGTGTGCGTTTGTTATTTATTTATTTTTCTGCAGCTGGGACTCCTCGTAGAGAATAAAGACTGGAGGCAGATTTTGGGAACAATCTGTGGTTACACAACAGCGATAGTACAAATGCTGCAACTTCTCGACTGGAGTGCCTTCAGATAGGGAAATAAACACCAGTATTTAATGGTTTGTTATATGAATTAAAACAGTTAATCAGTAAAACTTTTCAGATGTTTTTAATGCCTTTTTCTGCCCAACTGAGCCTTATATAAGATCTAAACCATCAAAAAGCAGCAAAATATTCATCCACGCAATGTCTTAATTGAAAATGCAAAAAAAAAAAAAAACACTACATTTATTACTTTCAAACTGCCTTCATGCTGATACTGCTGATACAGATTTTATCCTGCCAGTTGTCACACTGTAGTCTTCTTCCTCCTCCCTCCTTTTTGAGATCCAAAATGTTGCCTCATGCCAGTCTACAAACTTTGTGAATCCTTAATTTTTCCAAGTTCAAAAAGGTTTTTTCCCTAAGTTCAGACTTTCTCAAGTAGCTCTAACAGAGGATTGCATTATTAGTGTTATTTCTTGGACCATTTTTGACCTTTCACACACCACATTCTCACTCGGCTTCTCTTAATCATTTGGTCAAGAGCAAGCCAAACCACTTTAACCACAAGAACATTGAACCTATGGCTAACTGTTAGCCCAAAGCTAAAGACTAGCATGGTCCTCTCTGCAGAGTTGCCCAACTTCTTTTTTTTTTTTACACAGTTAACAAATAAGCCTGTGTTTAAATGTTTTTCTGGGGATAACCATGAAAAGTTTTCTGCCCCGGGATGAAGCTGGATATGTAATTCATTAGACACTTTCAGTGTCATCCTGCGTCATCGGTCCTACATGGACCCACAGGGGAGAAAAAAAATAATGTTTAATAGCAAGTCATGCTTCATTCAACTCAGAGGCTTTATTTATCCAGAGAGCGAAGAAAGACACAGTTTACTGGAGAATGCAAATGGACTTCATCTGTCTTTAATAACGAAAAAGAGCTGTTAGGAACTGGGGGAAGACAACATTATGTGAGAACAGTGCTGTAATGCAATTCCATGGGGCCTCCCTGCAGTTTGCCTTCATTAGGCCCCTCTTTTCTTCCCCAGCCACCTCAGTGTAACCCCCAAACACACACTCTGCTCACTTTAATAGGTCTTTGATCATAATTGCTCTTTAGCTACCTCAGAAGCTGGTTCCTGTATACTGTTGTGTGGTTGCATGTCAAATCAAAGTGTAAAGGTTTCTGTCCTCAGGTCTCTCTGGAAAAATAAACTGTGATGTCATTGAGAAACAAATATATTCCAATATCAGATTCTGGTGCTGCCACCAACATGATTACCACAATGTATCAATCAGACCAAAAGACAAACATGCCTGTGAAAAGATTGTATACTACTGCTAGATAAAACAACTCTCTCCCTCTCTCCCCTCAGGTAAACACTATGGGGTATACAGCTGTGAGGGCTGCAAAGGTTTTTTCAAAAGGACGGTGCGCAAAGACCTGACCTACACCTGTCGTGATAACAAGGACTGTGTCATCGATAAACGCCAGAGGAACCGCTGCCAATACTGTCGCTACCAGAAGTGTTTAGCCATGGGCATGAAGAGAGAAGGTACAGCACATACCGTTGAGGATAAAGTCCAACTTACCCATTCCCTCAAATCTGTACTAATCCACATAGATACACATTAAGACACAGATAAGGGCCCCCTTTTTTCTTTTTCTTTTTTTTAAAGCAGTACATTATGAATATATGTCATATTTTCACGAACAGAAGCGCACAGAACTCCTGCATAATATTTTACAATGGCTTATTTTTTCAGAGGGTGTCATACACCCGACACAGCCAGTTAAATCACGTAATCTCCCTTTTAAAGAAGAGCACTTCCTTTCATAATATACTGATAAGACTGTCCAGACTGACTTCACTTGGCAGTATACTCCAAACGAATCCAATCTGATTTGGTGTGCGGTTCCTAACCTGCTGTGCATATGACTGAGCAGATGCCAGTATACACGCTGTGACTATAGGTCTATTCATATAACTGCGTCAATGTCAGATAATACAGCTTTGCAAGAAGCTGTAGAAAAACAACTCATAACTTAAAGAATCTGTTAATGAGACCAAAATATAGTGCTTCCTTCAGTTTGCAAACTCACAACTTTGCCTTAAAATTACATATTTGATTGATTGACAGTTTGATTTAAACTGTAAAAAGGTAAGAGAGAGTTGCAAAACATATAGCACCTGAGATACAGTTTGACTTTAATGTTTGATGGAGTCTCTTTTTACTTGCCTATGTCAAACTTTGCAGAAGCCTTTGCAGCTGAGATTCTGCTCTACATCATGCTGTGCATTGCAGCCATAGGCTGTGCTGTATTAAAAATGTTCTGCTTCACGCACCACTTTTGGGGAAATAATGCATTCAGCTGTTGCAGCCCCAGGAACTCAACATTACTGGATGTGGAAACAGAGTGAGGGTTTGTGAGAACAGGCAGTCCTGAGGGAGTTCACTGATGTAGACTGGAGAAATAAAAACATGACGATAGAAGTGTGTGAACCTCTGCTTCCATTGCATCCTCTGGATGTCACCAATGATAAGTGTCAACCTAGAGGTTGTGTGGAACAGCCTACTGAGTTATTGAGTACCAGTTTGTTTTCACAAACATAAGGTTTATGTGCTTAATTTGTGTGATACTCGAGGCACAAAATTTGATCAAAATACTGAAATTGGATAATGGCTTGTAATTGCACAGCACAGTGAAAATATGCACTGCATTCCTCAAATTACAGAATACTAATGGAATGCACATACTGCTCCTGTCCTGTTCAGATGGCTACAGGGATTTAATCAGCCACACGAAGAATCCACAGGCAGTCAGTGTAGTTGACTGTTAATCAAACTTTAACTTTAAAATCATATTGTAGTGTTAGTGTATATTTGGTTAAAGAATTAAATGTAATCAGGCTAATGATTTAAATGTTTTTATAGAGTATCTTATTGTCTGTATCAGTGCACCTCCTCTGCAGCCAAACAAACATCGCCTGTTTAGTCTTCTGCTCCTTTAGCTTTAAGAGTCAGATCCAGATGTGGACAGAAAGGACTTCATGTTTATTATCAAACATTCTTGCAAACTTAAATTATTCCACCCCCAACACAGATGCAACCCTGTCCTCTTTTAGTAGAGACTGTGGATTATAAAAATATCCACAGTAACATTTCCATGGTTAAGTTTTAACTACCATGATTGTCATAGTGAAGTTCATCCCAGCAACAACTGCAACTGATTTTAGCTTTCTCAATGACTAGGCGAAGTATGTATAAGGCTATAGTCTGTGTATTGAAGAATTATTCACGCAAATTGAGAACATACAATTTAGTGTTAATGACAAGAACTTACATGTGAAGTTGTAAAGTAAGTCGAAGAAGACAAGTGTGGCTACTGTTTGACCGATTAGCTATATATTTCTGTACAGTTTAGGTAGCTTCTTCTATCTTAGCATAATTAGCGTGCCTCCCAGAGGCAGACTGAATGTCACAAAATGTTAATTTAATGGCAGAAATTGTAGATGATGAGTTACCTTCAAGGGTTTTGTGATGGTGTTGATCTTAAACTAGCACTGATTTATACTGTACAGATGAATTCACAAATCACAGAATCTTAAAACTCAACTGGACTGTTCTGAATCACCATTGTCACCACACTTGTTTGTTGCCTTTGCCAGTGGAAACACTGTTGTCAGCTCAGCTCTGAACACGTAATGGTTAAAACCTTGTTACAACCAAAAGCCACATAAGTGATCATGAAATGATAACTTTGACGCAAATAGGTTTCCGCTGAACTACTCGCTCTTTTAAACAGTTTTTTGCTAAACAGTTTGTGCAGTTTGAACTAGCAACCGAATGAACACACTGATGAAATGAAGACAGTGTGAAACAGTGCCAAATGTCACAGCGTTATAATCAGTGACACATTTACTTACTGATATAAGAATGAACAAATTACATAGTCACTGAATATGAATCTTTGAATTGAACCGAACAAAACTGTTGGAATCAGCAAAGTGATTTGTTGTTTCCACCTTTACCTGTCCATCAGACACATATGTTAATCATATTCAAGGCTAACTTGTGCATAGTCAGGAATGGGTGTTTAGGACTGGCCATTTTTACTACAAACCTGGATTGAGCAGGTGCAAATGCAAATCTCAGGCTTCCTTGACAGAAGAGGTGCATTGCTCCACTGGATCACTGCTAACACTCCCCCAAATACTACAAAAGACATAGAGAAAGAAAATAAAAACATTTTGCCCCTAAGGCCTTAGCCACCTATCTGCATGGAAACAGAGCATAATGTACTGTGCAAGACTGAGGCATTTTCACACAGACATTCCCTTTTAATGGGTTGTTTGAATGAGTTGATCCTCTTCATATTCACACAGTGAATGAGATGGACTCTTGTGTTCTGCCATTGTTGAATAAGGTTGCTGTTGTTTGATGCCACACTTATTGCTCTCCAGTCTTTGAGAGTGACCCTGACTTGTAAATATGGCAGGGCAGGCAAGTATCTTCTGTGATTCATAGTGGGGCAGTAGAATAAAGCACCTCAAAGGAAAGATTACAGCGCAGATAATAACAGAAAGAGTTGAGTTGTGTGAGGGAAGGAAAGAAAAACAGTCAGTGAGGTGTGAATTTTAACACTCCACGGGAGTGTTAAGAAATATTAGCACTCTCAGCACTGTTGTTAAGCACTCTTTCGCACATTGAATAAATCAATCACTGCGTCTCACCTTTATGGTCAACATGGTTACAGAATACAGACATAGACGGCATAGATTATACTGTGCGATGTATAGTATAGCCAGTGAAGAGGAAGATGGTAACAGGTGTTAACCAGGTGTGTGTGTGTGTGTGTGTGAAGGTGTGTGTAGCAGGTGAGTGTTTCAAGCTGAGTGAACATGAAGAATACATGTTTTTTGGACAAATACATTTCGGTCGCTATTTTATCCAAGGCCAGTTTGTCTTGACCTTTACATGACCTCCCCTCCCCTCCCTCTTGCTTTTATTTATATCATTGTTGGGCTCTTTACTCCTTTCAAGGATATTATCATTTACTGCCTTTCGCCTCACTCACAGTGCTGCCTAAGCCTCCCCCTGCACCCCGAGGGCTGTGGTTAGAGAACAAGGCAGCAGTAGCCCAAAAGGCTAAGCGAATCCACAGAAAAACAGGATTAAATGAATTTATGCTCTCCCAGTCAGGAGAGGAAAGGAGGAGGGGGGGAAATAAAGCTAACATGATTTCAGCCCTCCTCACCTCTCCCTGACTCCAACACAAGTATTCTACCCTTGGGCTGACCTCCACCACCAGACAGCAGTTCCTCTAAAGTGGGGCCCCTTTCCCTCTCCTCGTCTAACAACCCCTGCCCCCCCCCCCCCCCCAACAAAGGACGCTAACGGCCCTGATTCAGGCCTTGGAAAAGAAACCAGTGTTGGGGAAACATGAGGAGACAGATCATCCTGCATCCTCCCTCTGTGTGTGTGTGTGTGTGTGTGTGTGTGTGTGTGTGGGGGGCAGGGTGGTTCTCCAGGTGCATATGTAAGCATCCATGCTGACACTGAATTTCCAAAAGCCCTTCATCATACAACACGTTGTGTTGAAACTTTTTATTAATCCATGTGTGGAGGACAAACTTGTACAAAGCCGCAGTACTTTTTTTCTGTGGTGTGTTGAATTATGTAAATTATAGCCTTTTTGAAGAGACAAAACACATACACATGCATCTTTTCCATCCCAACTTGAGGGTGGGGGTGCGGTTTCTCTTGCCTCCGCCACAGTGAGTCTCGATGTCTGCGCAGCGCATAAACCATTTCCTGTGTTTCCTCGCCAAGCCAATCAGGTGACAAAACCAACACAGTTTTGCTTCAATCAGTTTTTATACAAGACATGGAAAAAAAATGTACAAGACAAAGTCTTTATTCATTTGTGTTCAGGCTGTTTTATTATGCCTCCACTCTGGCGACAGCTGTGGCTGGAGGCACTATGTTTTCGGGTTTCTGTGCGTCCATCCCACTCTGGTGAATGAGATAATTTCTTCGAATTTGGCACAAATATCCACTTGGACTCAAGGATGAAGTGATTAGATTTTAGTGGTCAAAGGTCAAGGTCACTGTGACCTCTCATGCATGCTATTCTTTCGAAAGCGATGTATTAGGAACGCCTGGAGGGAATTTTATTACATCTGGCACAAACACACACTTATACTCAAGGATGAACTGATTTGAATTTGGTGGTCAAAGGTCACTATGACCTCACTCAACATTATAACACATAACTCAAGAATTAATATGGTAATTATTACAAAAATTCACACAAATGTCTGTGATGACATTTTATATCCAAAGGTCAAAGGTTAACTTCACTGTGACATCATCATGGTCTGCAAAAATAACTGGCCAAAATACACTACATCTGGACAGTTGTGGATTTAAACTGCAACTTGACTGTTTGGCAAAAGCATACAACCACGCGGCAGTAATTCTAGTTTAAGCTGTTCTGGTGACCACACGTGGCGTAATGAAGGAGTGACAAGCCATACATTATTTATATGTCTGTAAATGATTTGTGTATAAAAGGAGCCGGCTGTTTGTCATTGAGCACTACATGAAAAACACATCTCTTTGATAAGGAAGCAGAGAGAAGTCCTTGAACATTTCCAAACTGCTGCATCGTGCATAATGTAGGTCTAAGGTCCTAAATATATTCCATCTGCATTGTCAAAGCAATTATTGATGATTGAACTCTCTTGGATATGTTTACTGGCATAATACATACAGGGTCATGCACTATTCACTGGCTTACCAAGGCACACTGACTGAAGCAGCCACTCGCGCATGCAGACACTCGATATGGGCAAGCAGACACTCAAGCATGCACACACATATTTTATGTACATGTGTGTGCAGATACAAACAAGGCCCAGCGATGTATTCATTTTACTACTGACGTGAACCAGAATTGTTCTCACAAAATCAGCTAGAATTCAAGCAGTTTTTAAAGCTGTTCCACATACTATTACATCTGTATTGCAGAGCAATAAAGAAAATAGTCCATCAGAGTACATAAGATAATCTGCCATTGTGGGTCTCAGTGCAGTTCCCCTTTACTTTGAGAACATTTCTAGAAAAAAACAACAGCTTTGTAAATTGTAAAAAGTTTGAATAGGAAATGGCTGGAATAACTTCACCACATTGGCATGTTGCCGTATCTTTCACTTTTGACAAACGATAGACAGCATGACTTGCTTAAATCAGGAAATTGCAGTCCATTTCAGTGGCTAAGGATTCTTACTAAACCCATTTGAATGAATTTGCACTAAAAGTTGCAGAAACAAAGCTGCATTCATAACTGAATAAAGTGACTAAAAACAAGGGGACACTCAGACACAGCCCTGATGCTTGTATCGTTTTTTTCCAACCCAGTTAGAGAAAACTGTGCCCTCTATCGTATGGGGTTAGGTTTGAGGCTTCGGTCGGGGGATTCGTCATACGGAAGTGGGCACGGTTTCATTTAAAATGAGTTGTAAAAAGATGAACATAGCCCCTCATTACAAAATTGTTATTACTAACCTGCTAGCAAACAGAGCAACATTAAACATTGCAATTTAATCAATAATAATTATCATTTCGATGTGTTTATGTATCTATCTGGTGAATGAAGCCTAATATTCAATTTTCAAAAACCTTTTCTTCAGCAGCTAGTTGCTAACTTTGTCCATTATTTGGTGCTGGGCTCTTAGCTCACTGAACTGTTTTACCAGAACTTGTTAGCTGAAAACAGATGCCTGCTGCTGCTGGAAATGGGTCTTGTGATGAAAGTGGTGAGACTGAGCCAAATGGTAAATGTGCTGCAAAGCCAAAACAGTTAGCTTAAGGAGGCTAAAACCACCCAGAGTATTAATAATAATAATTATAATTCTGTTAGTGTGTAACTCTCATATTACCACTAATCATTTGATTATTTGTGAACACAAAACATTGATCAAGGCAGATGTAATATTAATAACCACTTGATTTTTGTTAAGCTTGCTTATTAATTATAAGCATACAGTCTTAACAATCCTTTATTTTAACACACACGCCCACACACTCTGAACACATTGACAGTGTAAAAAAACAAAACCAAAAACAGCAGTAGTGACCGGAACCAGTTTTGTTACATGCAGCCGTTCAGGAGGAGCGCCAGCGAGCCAAGGACAAAAATGAGAACGAGGTGGAGTCCACCAGCTGCGCCAACGAGGACATGCCCGTGGAGAAGATCCTGGAAGCCGAGCAGGCGGTGGAACCCAAAACGGAGACCTACATCGAGACCAACCTTGGTGTGCCATCAAACTCGGTGAGTTGGTATTTTTATACATTCTTTGGCAAACACTTACACACTGTGTCATTCTGCATCAAGGAATTACTTTGTGTTTATGTTCATGCCCATTGGCACACAGACACACAGTGGGCGATTTGTTTAAATTTACACCGGTGGTTTGTGGGGAGAATGTTTTCGCTCATGTTTACTCCTGTATTTATTAGGGTATTCCATTAAACAAAATGGTTATTATTCTCTAATTTCACCCATTAATACCATGGCCACTTAACCACTTATGTCTGATTGGCTTGCAGGTGTATTAAAATTAAACACCTCAAACAGGATAGGTCACTTCAGATGTACTGTAGGTCTTTTCAACAACTTCACCACTGTGACTATGTGACTAAATCTGTATAAAAAGGTCTATTAAAGTGCAAATGACCATTGCATTGGTGCCTCCGCCTTGTGTTAAAATATGAAATCAATGACAATTTTAACACATTTTCACTTTTTTCCTGTGATGTGGTCATTCTAGGCCTAGGTAACGTGTTTGAGGTGTCTGGATAGAAAAAACAACACATTAATCGCATCTGTCCGTTATTTTCTTATATCAAAACGCCTCATTGTGAATTATTGCTTATATGGTAAAAAGCTTTTTTATGGAGTGTCACTGTGAAAAAAAACAGACAAGTGAAATACAACTAATAAAAATGTAGGAGTCTGAACAGTGTCATTGAGGTAATAGGGACATGTACAATGGGTAATAATTTTCATGCTACAAGTGGCTTTAAAATGTGTACATAAACATTAAATACTAACACATACACATATATATATATATATATATGTATATATTACAGTGTTTTGCAGTTAATGTGAACAAACTTGATGCATTTTGTACTAATAGGTTATGATTTGGCAAAATGGCAAAAGTTTGACAATCAAACCATGACTGCATCCAAAGCTTCTGCCAGTAAAACTTACCAAAGAGAAAACTAAACGTTTTTCAGTTTTATGGCTTGTGCTTTATTTTCTGCTTTCCAAACTCCTTCTGGAGCTGTCCCACCATTGTCCACAATTTGTTTTCATTTTTTCCAGCTGCTCCTATACAGTATCTCATTTTTGCCTTGAATTATAGTCCAGAGTATTATAGTATTAGTGTTTTAGTCCCGAGTCCTGTACAGAAAGAAAACACATTCTTTTGTCATTTTTCAATGTAAAAAATGTTTTAAAAAGCATTTTATTTTTTCAGAAACTGTGGTTTTTGTTGTGGAGTCTAAAGCTGACACCATGCTGTCTGCTGGTAAACATGTTAATGAACATCAGATAAGAGAAATGTTTTCCCCTCTTTTTTTGGTCCCTTTGGAGGTGACTGCTCCTGGTGTACAGCGCTGGTTTACCTGTTCATCTTGTAGTGGCTCCTCCCCTCAGCTGTGAGTTTCCTCATCTATCCCCTCAGTGTCATCTGGGCACTGTGGGCTGTCTTTGACACAGAGGAGACTAAGAGTGATGAATAATGCAATAAGCAGACTATTCCTGAAAGCATCCCACAAAGCCTCAGCTTTCTCAGGAATTCTGCTGGAACATGAGAAACGGAGGAGCTGTGCATCAGCCTACCAAAGGTGGGGGGGGGGGGGACGGGGGATGAGATTGAAGGGGGGTGTGAGAGAGAGAGAGAGAGGAAGGGCTTCTTCTGGGATCCGTCTGCTTCAGGGGAGGGAAATGTCCTGTGAAGTAAAGGTAGAAATGCGAAGGCTGTTATGTGAGTAAATGGGAGCTATTTTGGGGGCCAGATGGAAATGTATGAGATGAGCGTTGACATTAGGGAGAGGGAGAAGGGAGTGGGGAGTCACGGGGGAGCGGCCAGCAGCTCAGACACACTAATGCACTGAGTGTGTTTGGGCTCAGCCACAGTGGGTCCCTCGATGCCCACTGTCTGCCCAACACCAAGAAGAGGTTTTCTGAAGTACAGAGAGAGATGAAAACAGCACTGATGAAATATGACAGGGTGGAGAATTTATTAATTCACTTTAAGCGGAATCATATCAGAATCATGTTATGATCCTTCAAAATTCCTGACTCCAAAAAAGTTTTAATTACAATAGAAACAGTTAATATTTAACATGATTAGTTCTACACATGCAGAATGAAACATTTTGGATTGGATCAGTTTGATTATGCAGTTTTATGTGCAATTTTGCACATAATTGCTGTTGTGTGATATGCAGTGGCTTCATAAATTATTCAGACCCCTTCACTTACTGTGTATTTTATTGTCATAAATTGATTTGAAAATTGATTTAAAAAAATATATATATTGCAGTTTTCGGTCTTCAATCTACACTCAATAAGGAATGAGAGATTTCAATTTTTGATATGTAATAAATGTTCAAAAAAATTTAAACATGTTTTCACTCAGTATGAGATATTGAGTGTAGATTGATGGGCATAAATGGTGATTTTATCCATTTAAATTAAATCCACAACCCAATAAAGCGTGCACATAGTGAAGGGGTCTAAATACTTTGTGAAGCAACTGTATATTGATCTAAGAAACTACCCCTATTAATATTGTAGTATTTATTTCAGCCATATCAACCCTGCCCTAATCCAGTATGTCAGTGTTATGGTTCACCAACCTTTTGGTAACTTGATTCATGATCATTTCTCAAGGTTCCTCAACATGTCTTTGAGTGTTATTCAAGTTATGTGCCATGCTTTATACCTGTTACTGCTGCCAAGACTTTTGCTTTTGTATATTTTAAAGGTCAGTTTACCATATTCAGAGTATTTTCCTACTTAACGCCTCCAGGTCCAAAATCTAGAAGTGCAGATACTTTTAGGTTTTTGTGCCAAGGTTTTAAGATATTCACCTCTCAACATTTGGCTGCCGCCCCAACACAACAGAACTGAAAGAAACTGAGTTTTAAGTTTGTAAAGTTAAATTTTTCACTGCTCCAAGCACCACAAACAAACCTCTGTTCATCTCCATTGTGTCAAAGTGGCAGCAAAGATCTCAACAGGCTCATGAGGTGCGCAGGTGGTGCAGAGGTAATGTTTCCATCCACTTCAACAAAGACGCGCTGTTTGATTCCCAGTATTGGTACAAGCACAGTTGGTGGTGTTAGGAAACCAGGAAGGGCTGGTACTATTGTTGCTGCACTAGCGACACCTTCCTGCCGATGTCCATCGCTGGCAGGTGGAAAGTGGTGCCTGTATCATGTATCATGGAGGAAGCAGCAAATTTAACTGACAAGGACCGCATGAAGTAGATCTTGAGACATATACTGTATATAAAAACTGCATAACTAAAAACAAAACTAAGGCTAGATTCCAATCAGAGTCTTTCTTTTTTTTTTGTCTTCCAACTGATACTGAAGCTGAAGTGGAGCCCAGGATGTTGCCAGAGTAGTGGCATTCAGGCTGTCCTGACCACAAGGACTCCCCTTCTCTCTGAGTCCTCAAACTCCTGCCTCCCCCTCTGCGAGGTCTCCATTGAGAGGCGCTGCCCCGTGCTATAATTAATCACAGGGCCCAGGCCATGAGTGTACACCATGAATAGGCCACCGCCACTGTCTAATGACCGGGGTCTGGCCAAGCTGAATAAAGTGTGTTTATCTCATGGTGACCTAGAACAGGAGTTAAACAGGCGTTAGTAATGTGCCTTCAATCAAACAAGGAGAGGTCTTCTCTTAAGAAGAAAAGGGGAGAGGAACAGATATCATTCACTAATCCTGAGGGAGTTTCTTGACTTTGATTTTTTTTTTTGTATTTGTATATGTATTTTTGTGTTATTTCTGGAAGGCTGTTTTACTGTGTATGCATGAATTTATATAAGGGTTAACTTTAATAATTTTGTTGAAATTATGACAGGAAATATTGCTGTTATTTAGATGATAATTAGCTGATGATTCATCCCCACACCGACACATGAGGACAGTTTCTTTTTCCAGTCTAAAAAAGTGGGGCACTTGAGTAATTCATTTTTATGCTGATCGGTATGAGTACCCAATTTTCTCTCTGTTGTCACGCTAGTATAGTCTGGTTCAAGCGGAATAATGAAAAATTGAAAGGCAAATCTTTCGTCTCTCCTCCTCAAGTGATGAAAATTTCATAGGACAGTATGCAAGCCTGGCATTTTCTCTAAGTTGGTATGATCGACCACGTCAGTGGAGTGTACTACAAACCCTTTGATTTGCTGGGAATGAAGACAGTGGTGTTTGTGGCAGGCATTCAGAAAATCTTTTCAAAGAGGCTAAGATCCAGTAACTTAAAATTTCTTCTCTTACTTTTTTTTTTTTTTTTTTTTTTTTTTTTTTTTTTTTTTTTTTTTGTCTCAGCTGTCCAGAGTGATTTTCACAGTAGAAGAAGAGGAAGCAGCTCTCTCAGTTGAGGTGTGAGATATTCCCAGGTGGACTTTTGTACTTTCATACACGGAGGTTAATGTTATTCCCTCACAGGTCACAGTGGCCTCCTCCATTGTGGCTTGATAACATCCTAAATGCTGCTCTGTGACTCGAACAGTAAGTACAGTAATGCGATGCCCAAGGATTGTTGCAGGGAAGTGTAAGCCCTCTCCCCTGTCATCTCCACAGACAGAGGCAAAGAAACCAGGTCAGTGTAAACACGGCTAAGATAGTCATACAACATTCATGAGGCTTGTCGTGTTTAACGAGAACCCTGGGACTTGTATTCTTATGAAGAAGGGTGGCTCGACCATGGCGCACACTGAAGCCCCCTTTTGTTTTTCTTTGTTTTGGCTCAGGCTGCCCTTTGGAATGAATTAGCTGAATCTGTTTATGTGTTTTTTAGAGGAAGCACAGCTCTCAAAAACTGTCGCACTGAGCTGTGCCGTCCACGTCTCCCACGGAGATCAGATGCTGAAATATTCATAAGATGCCTGTTTTCTTTCTTCCCCTGAAGAAAAAAAAAAAGCGACGACTTTCAGTTTTCAAAAACAGTGTAGTCTTTGTGTCTGGTTTAAGTTTTTCATATTTCAGCTGCATATCTGTGATACTCTGCAGTCAGTGTGAGGTTCAAACCGCAGGGAGGGAACGTGGAGGAGAGGATGGGATAGTCTCTGGCCTGCGTATTATTAAAGGAGAGTGTGAGTGGAGGGATGTTTTCTCCTTCATCTTGAATTAATCTTCTCTGGAGAGCTGCAGTTGATGTTGGGATCCTCCGAGCTTTTAGCATCGATCTGTGGGATTTGGCAAAGGAAGTTGGGGAGAAGTTGCTGAGTTTTTGTCAGAGTGCGAGTTCACACAGGGATACTTTGGAATTTAAGGATGTTTACTTGATTTTAAAATTATGCACAAACGCGTGTGCATAAAGTCTTTGTTGACTCACATACGTGTCGAGGGTATGCACTCCTGGGATGATGATAAGTTACTCGTGAGAGATTGACAGTATTGTTTGGGTTTTTTTTTCCCCCTCTGCCCAGATGGATTTACATTGTTGTGAGTCAGTCACACTGTATGTGTGTTGCATTAGTATTTCACTACTCTTAATAAACTCCCTGTTGGTTCAAGAATATGCCTCACAATTTGATGTATCAGGACAGTTAAGGACAGGCAGTCCCTGTATTTCAACTGGGTCTGTAATTGCACACAGAAATGATCATCTTAACAGGAGAACTACTGTGTTAAGCAGTGTGGCTAATATTAAGGACACTATATGAGCTATATAGCCTTGGTGTATTTTTCTGGGAATGTGAAGATTCTGATAATCTATCTTACAATTTCCAAATTAGCAGTTTCTTTAGGATGACACCAACATTTTATAAGCTCTTTTAAAAGTCCCATATTTTACGGTTTTTCTGTGTTTTATTTGAAATGTTGATAAGAATTACATAAGAAGACATATTTGTAGTTTTAAGTACCAAAAACTCCCACTCAGAGGCTTCTTCCTGGAGCTCTAGTAACAACAGGTCACACTGAGCCAATCAGAAGAGAGGGTCTGAGCCTCTCTTCTGATTGAAATATAGCAGATTTCAGGTGAACACCAAGTCCTGCCAGGCTGGATGGTGGGTCCAGGTGGGCTGGGCTTGGGGCGTTGCTGAGAGCGATGACTGCTTTGTTGTGACATCAGAAGTTCTGACGGCCCGTTTTAGGCCTCACTTTCTGAATACAGGCTGTCTGCATTTCTCTGTGGACTGAACACTTTGATACTTTCACTGTATTGATATAGAACCTAGACCTGCTTTATCATCAAAAAAGACATACAATATGGGACCTTTTAAACGTGACACACATAAGAAAACTAAATGAAACGGTAAATAAATAAATAAATACAATAATTCAACAATTTCAGTGGAGTAGAAAAAGTTCTCAGTAAACATGCTTTAGACCATAATGGCCAACATATTAGATATGTCCAAGAAGAACCGTCTTTCCTCCAGCTTTTATGCTCCTCTCTCCTCAAGGCTTAAGTAGGTCTAATGAAGTGGAATCAATAAAGGATTGTAGCTTTCCTTAATTCACCTGGACCTTTTATTTCACCAGGGAACTAGTTAGTGTTCCAATTTCGGGCACTAAATGGACAATGTACTGTGCTGTCTATTAGACAGCCCACTCAACTACCAAGAACAGGTTGTTTTTATCATTTATCAGAAGGTAATGATTTTTTTTTTTTATTCACTAGAAGTGTTCACCTTCAATAATGACAATTAATCTTTTGAAAACATGCAACCATGAATTTATGAGTTTTTAATAGAAAATGGTTCGTATTAGTTGAGTTTAGTCTCAGTAACATTACATGGATAATAGTTAGATCATCATTATTGTAAGAATTACGGTGAGAAAATATAAATATTCATTACAAACAATCTTGTTTGTAGCTTTTTCAAAGCCTTGCCTGGTCTGGTAATTGTCCCATTCAAGCTCCTAACAGCTTGTTCAGTGGTGAAGTGTCAGTAGAGTGTCAGGAGGGGCCTCTTGAGCTCCACAAGCTGTCCAAAAGGCTGATTTGTGTGTCGGCTAAAAGGTCCCCAAAGAAAGAGTCTGCACGGCGAAAGTTGTTTTTTCACCGGCAGCGCTCTGCAGGTATTTCCTCCACGAGCTGGGACAGAATCACTGTTTGTTTTGTCTTCCTACTTGCTCCTCTTCAGAGGAAATTATTCACAGCGTAGTACTCATGTTGGCTTGAGTGTGTGGTGTGTGTGTGTGTGTATGTGTGTGTGTCTGTATGCTTCTGTGTGTGAATGCATGCATGGTGTTAGGTAGCTCAGCCCAAGACCTTGGCCAAGAGAAACAGACTAAAACAAAAATATGACACCTATTTATTTCATGCATAACCTGAGTTTCTAACTTTGAGATTTGTTTCTGTTTGCCTGTGTTTCCCTGCAGCCCAACGATCCGGTGACAAATATCTGTCAGGCGGCTGACAAACAACTCTTCACCCTGGTGGAGTGGGCCAAGAGGATCCCCCACTTCTCTGAGCTGCCGTTGGACGACCAGGTCATCCTTCTACGAGCAGGTCTGTCACAAAGGACTTAAATGAGTTCAGAATAAAGCTGAAAAGAAAGTTGTTGTGCGCAAACAATATACAATGACAGTGATGACTCTTTTTACCCCTCCATGAGATATCTAAATACATAGCACTTGGCACCAGGAGTTGACATCAGATGTACAAATCAACACACAAACTGACTGCTAAATGCTAAATGCTAAATAGCGATTGTTTTATCTTGGTTAAAATTATCAAGTGCTCAGGTTTTATGATCCTGCACAACAGTGGATACCCCTTTATGTTAGTGTATAGACAGGAAAAAAAAACAAACATGTTTCAGATGATAAACAAAACCTCCTATGAGAAAACACACAGAATTGCAGATGCTAGTGCCAGCTCTCTCTCTGTATCTGGGTAGAAAAATCTAGACTAATCTGCTGAATAACTCTGTTGGTCATGTGACTGAAACAAACATCAGACCCACCAAGGTCACAGCGGCTCATTGTGTGTATCTGCTGTATGTGGAAAAAGCAAGTTAACCGCTCAGGATCACAGAAGCAGCAATTTAAAACAGAGAGTGAATCATCTGTCACTTCTGTTATATTCACCAACATCACATGCAGGAAGGTCTTTTGGGTTCTCCCAACACATTGCCCTTGTTGCCTGCCTGTCGCTCCTAATTACACCATTATATTCTAAATCCACCTCCGGGAAAAAAAAAAAAATGCTATTACACACACATCCCTTACTCTGAAAAAAATCCTCCCATCATTCCTTATCTTTCGCACATACACTGATGGAGAGACTTCAGCAAAGCAGAGAGAGACATTATTCTGGAGAGCTCGTCTCTTCTCGGCTCTCAGGTTTTCTATAAATAACCGCTTTAGTTCTGCTGTATCACAGATAAAAGCATCCCAGCTCCTCTCATACCCAACTCAACTCTGGGGAGAAGAGGCAAGTGTTGCCAGGCAGAACAGTTAAAGGAACCCTGTCACTCAAAAGGCAGCGTCTTGTGTCTTCAGTGTTCTCTGTGTCAAGCCCCTGCTTTGGCACATCAAGCCTGTTGTCTTTATTGTGATGGCAGGCGCAGTTCATCCCTTTTACACGCTTGTCCCTCAGAAAGCATGACTCGAATGTCTTAGTAATAACCTGATGCCTGTGCTTGAGAAAGCTGCACGCTTTTTGCCGCACAGCTTAATTGATTCATTGAAATTCTCCCTTTGTTGTCAGTTTCATTTTGCTTGAATGCTGTGTGAACTTCTGTACTGGGATTTGCTTAGAGTTTTTTTTTTTTTTTTTTTTTTCCTCATACTTTTCCTCGATCCCTCTCCCTATCTCTCCCTCAGGTTGGAATGAGCTCCTCATTGCATCATTTTCGCACCGTTCGATAGCGGTTAAAGACGGGATTCTGTTGGCAACCGGGCTGCATGTACACCGCAACAGCGCTCATAGTGCCGGAGTGGGAGCCATCTTTGACAGGTCATTATTACCATATTACTGAACTATCCTCCACTTAGAAGTAGCCATGTATAAACTAATGTAAGTGCAAACTGCAGCTACCACTTTTAGCAATATTTCAGGTAACACTTTCCAGGTGTGTTGATAATGACAGATTTTTGCTTGCAACGTTGACCAGTGTATATACTCCTCCAGCATATCTGCTTTGGTCTTTTTAGGTTTTATTAATGCCTTATTACTGATCTATGAAGGAACAATAAAACATTCATTAACAACTAATAATGTATTAGTTACATCAGAAATTTTTTATTAGAAAGTGGTTTAATTCTTTAGAGCATATGACAGCATATTAAAGTTTCTCTCACTGAAATATTACACCTAGACTGAAAGTTCCACGTGTGCCTTATGAAAGTCAAAGCAGCACAGGAACTATTGATTGCCTCCAGTATATTAAATATGTACACCTGTATGCATCAGGGGTCACACATGAATACTGAACTGCTCAGAAAATGTCAAACAAAAAAAACAAAAAAAAAAAAGACACAAGCCAGGCACAGTGAAGTCAGGTGTGTGCAGGAACCAAACCACCCGGGTGACAGTTATTGACATTCCAGGGTGGCAAGCTGTCTGACACTGAAATCTGCAGCGTTACACCTGGAGCTGAGTTCAGATACTCAATTTGGAAAGTTATGAATGATACAAGCAAAGTGTATATTATGTATTTAATGTTGTTATTGGTATTCTGTTATCAGTTAATCACTCAAATAATTGAAAATTGCAGGTGCTGTCATCAAATCCACACTAACAGCCGTCTATCTTTGAATATCTGTCTCTTCTTCTCTCTTCTCGTGTGTGTCTGCTCCTCTGATCACCAGCTACTGTGCTCGCTCATCGGCGTTCACAGCCACAGGACATATTCCGTCTCTGCATTAACTGTGGCAAGCATTAAGATACAGAGAACTGATAATGTTATTTTATCTACTCCGCTCTCTCTTCACCATACAAATGAAGAGCCTGATTAACTTAAACACTTGAGTCGTCTCCTTTTCTGTTTTTTTTTTTTTTTTTTTTTTTCTAGCCCTGTTGTTCCTCCTCAGAGCAAATTGAATTAGAATGAGCTAAGAGCCACAATTGACTTTACTATCCGAGAGCGAGGGGGGGCGAGAAAGAAACGGAGTGAGAGGGAAAATAAAGAGCGCCGGGGAGAGGGTGTGACCGAGTCAAAGAGGGGTGAGGAGTTCGAGCGACTCCGTGCACCGATCCTCCCACCAGTGATGTCACACGCAGACAGTGGGAGTGCGGGTGTTAGATTACAGCTTGTGTTTACTCTGCGGCTTTCCTTTTATGAAAACCATGTACTAAATATAATTACTTTGCAGGGTTGTAAACTTTTCCACTGATCTAACTGTGCCTCTGTGGGCTGAGAGGACGCTTGTGTGTATTATTTGTTTTTAAATAGATGTGAGCTGGATAGTAGTTAAAACATATTTTTAATGTCCTTGTCTAGATGTGGATAATTCATATGAACCGTGGTGTGTCATTTTCAAAAATGTACCAATTACACTCAGATGGTTTCCTGTGAACTTCTCTGGCACTTTTTTCATAGTCTAGTAGCCAAGAAGTGTTAAACACTCTTGAAATAGTATTTTACATCTGATTTTAAATGAGAACTTTGTGGGTGTTTTTTTTGTGTCTCTTTTGTGCAGAGTGCTCACAGAACTGGTGTCTAAGATGAGGGACATGCAGATGGATAAGACAGAACTGGGGTGCCTTCGAGCTATAGTCCTTTTCAACCCAGGTATGTGTATGCTTTCATTTGCTGTGAAGCTGTAAATGAGGTGTTTCAAAGATGTGTGGTTTTAAAAGAGCATGTACTGTAGGAAACTGTCTTTTTATTCCAGTTTCAACTGCACTTTGAACCAAAAGAATCAACTGGTTATCAGAGCACAGCACAAGTGGAGCTTTTATTAAAGTTCAAAGATCTTTGTGAACTGTAGGGCTGTGACTGTTTTTGTAGTTATAACAAGGAAAAACAGCATTCAGATGACTTTAATATTGCTAGGATGGACTATGACTCATTAAGCCTAAAGCGATCCTCAGCATAAACTCTATATTTCTTCCCCTGTAAGCTTGAAATAGGACTTAAAAAAAAAAATGTGTTGCTTCCACATTGAATCAGCTTGAATTTGTTTACAATCGATTCCAATGGTGGCGACTTCTCACAGAAACTTCTCAAACCACACCTGCAGCTTAATCTGCTTCTCCACTGCACATTGGTATTTCACATTTTTTTCTTTTTTTCTTTTTTTTTTTTTGGAAACATTCATTTTTCACCAAAATGTGTATCTTCAGGTGGAGGTTTATAGCTTCAGAAAGGATGATAGCAGGGCGCAGACGTAGTGTACTCAGCAATATGTTTGGAACAGACTGAGCATATGGATGGAGAAGAGGATTATGCTGCAGGAAAATAAATAAGTAAAAACATGTCACCATTGGGATCCTCTGGACTGAATCTAACGTGATGTCAGAAGTGAGGAAATTGCAAATGTTTTACATGAATTTTTCAAGCCTAATAAAGAGTATTGATGCTCAAATTTTAGATGCTGGGTGGAGTATTATTTTAGGTCTAGTGTGTGTGACTCAGCTCGACCTCATTAATGTAACATGAGAATTGGGAACTGAATTTTGACTTTGCCTTGGTTCTCCTTGACCCTAACTTCTCTTGAGGAATTGAGACTTGCATGTGACTGCATGTAAAACTGATACTATCTCTGCATAGCACGGAGGTAAAAAAAAAAAAAAGAGCAAAAAAAGCACAAAATACAGGCTGATATAGTACATATTTAAGAATTAATTCTTGTATATTTTATATTTTGGCATCCTTCCAAAATCCTCCCTTCCAAACTCTAGCCAAAGAAAGACTATGACAGCGAGTCTTGCTGAGGCATGTATCACTCCTGCTGTCAGTGTGCTGCTCTGTATTTAAACCTCATCCACATGGCACCGAAGTTTACCAAACAGTGTGACCCAGGTTTTTAATGACCTAGTGTGGGAGCCTCCCCTCCGTCCCACAGATCCACAGCGGCCCCCACACACTGATCCTCTGTGCTCCACATTTTGTTCAGGCCACATCCAGACCTACTGGCCCCGGTTCACTTCTCGGCTTTATTTCTTGTTAATTAGGGGTTCGCGAGACCGGGTCTGACTGAGAAAGCAAACCGCGGGGGCGGTGGAGAAGGGGATGTTGAGGCTAAAAAGGCCCTCAGTCCTCCTTTTCCCACACTGTGTGATCCAGTCCAGCCATTAACAACAAATGTTCATTCAGTGTTGATCAATTGAGCAAAGCTTTGTTCATCAGAAATGTTAATAAGTGACGTGTTTGTTTTGTTAATCACAGATGAATCGTCCAGTGAAGCTTAAATTAGCGCAGCTTTGAAATCACTGTCCTAATTGGACTAACCCAGAATGGGGTGACACACGTCCACAATGAGGCTGTGAGGTTAAAACTCAACTTGTCAGTTAGTCCCCGCTGTTCCTTCATAAACTCCTGCAAGGAGCCCTTAAGCAAGGCTGTCAGCTACAATTGTAAGAGTTGTAAAGAAGAATGTTAAAAAAAAAAAAAAAAGGGGGGGGGGGGCATACATACCCATAATACATCTCATGTTGTTGTTGTTTATGTTTTTTTGTTTTTTTTTTTGTCTCCACAGACTCAAAAGGTCTGTCCAACCCAGGTGAGGTAGAAGCCCTAAGAGAAAAAGTCTATGCGTCTTTAGAGGCCTACTGCAAACAGAAATACCCAGAGCAGCCTGGCAGGTATGAAGACGAACACAGAAATGATTGTGCACTTCTCCGGACTGTGGTGCTGATTTAAACCGTGCAATCCTCACGTAGAGAAATCAGAAAAGATTCGGGCTCGTGACTTGTATTCATCTTGCACCTATCCACACAAGCCTTTTTATAAGGTAAAAATTAGAGCTGCTACTTACAGTATCCACACAAGCAATCATTTTAATCAATACAGTAGCTCTGAGTTCAGCTTGTCATCAGGTGTGACTGATTGCTTGTACAGATGCAGTGCATTCATGTAGCAGTGTTTTCTTTAACTGTCAAAGATGGTGTGGATGAAAATGATTTCAAATTCAATGAAACTTAGTTTGATGTTCATAACTTGCTCTCTTTGAATACAGTTTCTCTTCCCCAGATGATTATTTTCAATCATTTTCCATTTGTTTGTTACTTGTTACTCACCATTGTGAGGAGAACAACAGAATGAAAAGGTCTGAAAATAAGTTTTAAAGCTCTGAAAATACGTGGGCCTCACACAAGAACATTTTTGTATTCGTATCCTAAATCACTTCTTACATTTTTTTACTTTTTTCCGTGAGGTTTGCTTGTATGAGACCTCCAAGTCGGAGCCGTCGAACTCTCCTCACTGCACAAACTTGTCGTAAATTGATCGTTTCAGCCTGATGAATGCCAGCTGTTCATGAGGAGCTGTTCCACTCTGTTCGTGGGCAAGTTTCATTCACAAAAATGTTACCCAAAAGTCAAAAAACAAAAAGAACCTCACACTATGAAGCTTCAAGTCCTGCTGTTGGAAATCAGCAGACAAAAACAGAAACAGAAACAAGGGTCTGTCGTCATGTTAGAGGAGCTTTAACAAACAGGAAATATTATTAATTATATGCAATTATAAGTCAAATAAGTGAAGTATGATCTGTACACAAGTGGTACTACGCACCAGGACCGCTCGTAACTTCTGTACCTAAGAAAAACTTCTAAGTCATTCTCTTAAATAACTTTTATGTAATACTTGAGAATGAATTTGTTCATATGAGTGCTTCTTGCATGAGGCCCAACACGTGGCAGCTGCGCATTATACTGATGATACTGTAGGTATTTGTGGTATTAGTCATGTAGTCTGTACTAAGATTGTTTTGCTTCGGGAACATCTCCTCTCCCTCCCTCTTCCTGTCAGATGTATCATGCCGATGTTTTATTTTAGTCAAGTGTTTTCGTTTGGTCTTGTGTTGTGACAGGTTTGCCAAGCTGTTGCTGCGGTTACCAGCGCTGCGCTCGATCGGCCTCAAGTGTCTGGAGCACTTGTTCTTCTTTAAGCTCATCGGCGACACGCCCATCGACACCTTCCTCATGGAGATGCTAGAGGCTCCACATCAAATGACATAATAGCATAAGGGGGTTGAGCCCTCGCCCTGCCCTTTCCTCCTCCCTCCCTCCCTCCTCCTCCTACATCTCCCACCAGCCATGGATCAGGAGCAGGGTCCTTTTTTAAAATCCTGTCTCCAGCAAGGGACAGATCACGTGACGATTTTGGACGGAGAACCTCTCCCTTCCTCCCTCCCCTCTCTCCTCGGCTCCCTTTTGATGTGTTTCGAAACAATGAAATCATCATGTCTGTGGGTCTGTTTTATACCTTGTAAAAATATATAAATAAGAAATATATATATGAAAATCACACGACAACACGAGTGACGACAACAGTGGACTGAACTGAGGAAGGACAGAGGACAAAAGAAACGTATTGAGCCATCGTTTTCATCTTTGCTGTTCCTACACCTTGACGAGAAAAAGCAGAGATGATCAGGTTTTAAACACCCACGGTTATGCTTCCAGGTATATTAAAAAAAAAAAAAAACGGTGATGATGTCATATTTGGACACTCAGCGTTGTGATCGGGACAATCGTGGACTCGGAGAGCCTCAGGCTGTCTAGACTTGGACCTGAGCCTTCTCCGTCTTTCAGGACTGAACTTACTTTGGGGAGGGACGATGGGGGAAGATGTCTGCTTAAAGGAACTCATCTGTTCCTGCCTGACTCGACTGAACACATCAGGTCTTGCACTAGCTGTTTTTTGAAGTGTGAGCTTTCTGGAGTAGTAGAACTAGGAGGTAGGTTAACAAGACTGGAAGTGTTCAAAAACCTCAGGTCTCTGCCCAATTCCAACAAATACAACCATGTCTTACTCTATTAGCACTGTGCAACATCGGGGAGGACGACCTGTTAGTCCACTAATCAGCCCTTCAGTTAACGTATTGATCAAGAAAGAGATGCTTGAGAGTTTGTTATGTACAATCTGCGCTGTTCTTTTCTGCACATAGGAAAAACGCTGGCTGTTGTAAATTAGCCTCACGCTAGCTTTAGGCTACATGAGCATCACTGGATGCTCTGAAAGGCAACCAGCAGGCGCAGCAGCTTGGAACAACTTTTGTCATCCTCTTTTAAACATTTGGCCTTCATCGGAAGCTTTCAAGAGATCACATCGAACTCGGATGGCTGGAAAGTGAGCGCTCGTTCTCATCTGTGGGGGGGATGTTGTTGTTTCGTCAGCCCCTGAGCTCCTTTCCGTCCCACGTCCAACCTCCCCACTCGTCATTTCATGTGAATTTGAGCACACCATTTACACCTCCACAATCCCCTCTGCTCAAAGCGGCGGGTATTAGCTTTTCAAAACACCTCATATCTACCTGTACAGAAAGTTACAACCGCATACAGTATTGACGCTATTTTCAGTTTTCATTTTAACAACAGCAATGCACAATTACCTCTGTTTCCATCCCTCAGACCTTCAGTTCCTGACACTCATTTAAACATTTACAGAATGCGGGAGAAGTGCGTGTTGTTGCAGCAGAGCCATTATTTTGTTTATTTGTTTGTTACTTGGCACTTAACCTCATGACAGTGGAGTCGGGTTCCTAAACGGAGAGCTGATGTTGATATAATCGACCTCTGAGGTGGAATTTGGCCCCGGCCCAATCAGGCACGCCCCAATTGTTGTCCTCCTCAGAGGGTCACGCACACTCGCTCTCTCTGCACTTCTCTGGACAACCAAGTGTCACTCAAGTTGAAATGTTAAATGTCTCCATGTTATGTATAAACATGCTTTATGCCCATATTCTGCTTTTTTTTTTTTTTTTTTTTTCCTCTTCTCCTTTTTCTCTAAATGCTGCAGCTGCTGCAAAACTATGCATCCAGTGCATTTCCAAAGATTGTCCACAGAGCGGGTGCATATTCTAACGGCTCAGAAAGGTCTGATTCCTTTTAAAACAGGTGTTTAGGTGTGGGTCCACTGTAATCATTTCCTGGAGCAGAAATCTAATTGAAGTTATTTTTCCCACTATTCAGATATTTGATTCTGTACCAGTTTATTTAGCTGTGACTCATTACATAGAAAACAAACAGCTATTTGACATTGTGTTATGGTACAGTGGAGCACAGTGGAGGTTATGGACATGCTAGATAATAGCAGAGCAAGAGAAAATGACTAAAAGAGAACTAAATTCAAGGATTTCCCTTCAGTGTCCACATATTAACTACTTCTTCATCAGTTCGTGGTCACACTGAGTGCATGGAGTCTTGATAGTGCCACATAAATACTTTTTTTTTTTTAATCACTTAACATGTAATTAATAAATTCAAAAGGTTAATTCGATTTCCAATTTATTTGTGCATTTAAAAACTCAAAGTAAAAAGCAAAATAAGATAATTACATTTGCCATTTAAAGATTCTATTGCCCTTTTTTATGTAATAATAATTGAATTTTAAAATTGAATAACAATACTGATTTAAAAAAGGCTTTGAAATCTTCTTTCTTGGTATTCCATGTGCCTAATATATTTTATCTGTTTGTTCACTGCTTTAACGTTTACAGTTCCACTTTAAGCATTTAAATTGTCACTTAAAAGTGAAATGACGGCCAACCCACAGAGCGGTAAAAGGAGCTGTTATTGGCCAGTTGTCAGCTTCTGATCCGCACTATGAGTTCAGTTTGTTTTATTTTGTTTGTTGTTTTTTTTGTCAGTTTGTCAAATTTATTAATTGAACATAATTTCAACAAAAGAAAAAAGAAAAGTCTGAAAAAGTATCTAATTATTCTGGTGCCACCATCAGGACTCCATGGCAGTGGTGACTCTGACCAAAACACCACTGAAACGATGACCATATGTCAATCTTTCAGGGTGACTTGGGGCTGGTTTCACAGACGTGCATCACTGAAGGGCCTCCAGTGGGGCGTTAATCCACCTCCTGAGAAACTGATCCCCAGACATCCGCTGATCTTTTTCCTTATGAAGAAAAAGCAAAGACCCAGTTGAGATGCCAGCATTGAAATGTCAGATACTGTATGCTTCAAGCAGGACGACGACCTTTACTTTCAGTCTCAGAGCAGTTTGGATAAGAGAGCGAGAGTGTGAGGGATTTGGTGTGAGATTTAAGAGCTGTGAGCTCCCTCTAGTGGAAGAGAAGCAGCACTGCAACATTACTTGAATTTTTTTCTACAAGTATTTAATCAGACAACAAGACGGCACTTTCTCACAGTGTTATTATCATCAATGTTCTTTTGGATCAGACAAGAACCTCAGTGTCTGTGCTTGTTAAAAACTGAAAATAAGTAGCAATAACTTCAGTATGACCTGTTGGTTTGTTGTTTTATTGTTACTCAACAGTTTCAATGAGGTGGTCTGTTATTACTAACTATCCAGGTGACAGTATTAACTGCCAGCTTGAGCTCAGTTTACAGTATTTATATTCTGGAAAATGATACTTGTTTGTCTGTTAAAAGAAAAAAAAAATTGTCAATTTAAGCATTATGGCAAAGAGAAGCTCTACTCGCATTCAGCTTTTTCTGTAACACCGGGCGACATTTCTTAGTCAAGAAAAGCAGATATTAAGCAATTAAATGTTTCTTTTTTTCCAACAGGGTGACCCAACTTTAAAATTATTATCCTCCTGTTGTCGTCAGTGTCACGAGGTCTCCTGCTCTTAGTTTACTGTGATTGGTTACTGCAGGTATCTTAAGCCATAAAGTGGATGATGTGGGAGCTCACTCCTGCAGGAAATGGACAGACAAGGATCTTCTCGACGAGATAAAAGAAACGATCACCCACACAGAATGATAATCTACATGAATGCTTTATAACATAAAGCTATATTTTGTTAATATGTATATGTGTATATATTTATAAATATATAACAGATCTGTTCCTTGAGTATTTCCAACATTGACAGAAGGGGACAAGTCTTTCAGACCAAACTGTTCCGCACCAGGTGTTCTTCAACTCAGAGTTTTATGGTGTTTTCTTTTTTCACAAATATCTGAGGGTTTTTTTTTTTGTTTGTTTGTTTGTTTTATTTTTTTACATTTCTTACTGGACTTTATAAAATTACTCTCGATCAACCAGCAGAATCGCAGCACCTCCAAACTCAAAAAGAACCAGCTTCTCAGCAGTTTATGGGACCTCAAAAAAACTATGAAAGAGAGAAAACAAAAAGGTTAAGTCTTTAAACCCTCCAAAATACGTGTTGCTTGGCAAGTGTATGTTCAAAAAAAATGTAATCAGGAAAAGCTGAGCTTGTGACACAATCACTGCTTTCTTTGTTGCATAGACAGTAAAATGTTCAAGTTAAAAAAAAAAAAGAAAGAAAAAAAGAAAAAAAAACACTTGGAAAAAGATCTATTTTTGTACAAAGGTAATTTTATCCCTTGCTTATGTGCTCTGTTCTTTGCCTTTTCTTCTGTGGGCTGTTGTATACGTTGTGGAAAAGCTTATTTGACGAGGCAAGAGAACATTTTCAGATTATTAAATGAGAGGAATGGTTGGCTTTGGCACCTTGGTAAACTGTGTCGCCTTTACTTCGCCATTTTCAACCTGTCGCTGCAAGACGGGATTGTCTTCATTATATTTTTTGTCTATTTTTAAAAAGGAGGTGGAATTTTTGTCATCTGTTCTTTGTGGGTTGTTCTCTGATGTTCCTTCATGGACAGAAAAAAAAAAGTTATTAAAAAACTTTAAAGTGAGCTCGACTGACGCTGAGTTGATTGTTAACGGATCCCGAAAACACACTCCAAACAAGATGTTTTCACTCATGACTCGGTAACATGAAACATACAAAAACTGGTTTTATTAAGTTGCAGGTCATAGCTGTCGAATGCAAAACAGATTCCACAAAAATCCAGGTTAACTATAGAGAACAGAGGCTGCTGGCTTGGTGTGCAGAACTATGAGATAATCAGAAAGCAGTAATTATAAAAAAAAACAAAAAAAAAAAACAACAACAGCTAAAATAATCCAATCACAGTACATGACGGCGTACTATGTACAACTCCTACAACACAAAATAAATGCATTTGGTCGCTGTGGTGAACTGTAAAATATTAACATTAGGAGAGGAGGGATCTCAAGTCAAGGCTCCAGTAGGATTGTAAAAAGAAAATACTCATTTCAATATTGTAGATTGTAATTCTCAAAGTATTGTATATGTGACATCACATTTTAAGGTGTTATGGACTTGGTTCAAGCTCTGAAAATATCTCATGGTATGGCACAGCGCTTACTTAAGATCTGACATCTGATGTTAAGGAGAGAAAGAGAAGTAACTGTGGCACCACTTGAATAAATAACAGACAAAAGGGTTTTAGGTACCTTTTTTTTTTTTTTTTTTTTACTGAAATGTGATGCTTGATGTCAAAGTCACCTCCACCTTGAAGAAATTTAGACGATCCTACAGTTACACAGACAAAAGAAATGGGGGGGGGGGAAACAAAAAGGCCGAATTATTAGATGTATTATACAAGGCCATAAATGAGTGTGTGGGAGCTGGTATGCAGCAGTGACATTAGGGTTAATGCAGTGTTAAAAAAAAAATACTGAAGCACCAGAGCGGTGTTGTATAACAAAATTCCCCCATTTCCCTTCTGGGACAACAAAATCTGGCACGTGTGGGGAAAAAAAAAAAAAACACTGATGAAATATCTCAGATGCGACAAGGGGGAACACGTCCGCTGCAGGACTAGCCTCGGCTGATATGGTGCGTATGTGTGTGTGTGGCTCTCCGTGCTGAATTTCATTACCCGAAAGCCGTCTGCATCCAGCAGGTGCTCTCTGTTAGAAAAAAACGTCCTCTTTTCTTACAACAAAATGTAGAAAAAAAAAAAATATGAATAGCCCCCAAAAAGATCCAAGAGGGCTTAGCAGTCGCTTTTCCATAGCTTGATGGTTTTGTCATTTTCTAAAGCCGCAGATGCGATGATGTTCTCTGTCGGGTGGCAGGCAGTCGAAATGACGACGTCTGAAAGGAAGCGATGAGAAGGAAAATTGAAACGGTGTTTAGAAATGCAAATTAAAGTTTTATAAGCTTAGAATAGTCCAGAATACCTTTTATTTACACCCCAAATATCTGTCTTAAAAAAGAATTCTGTCTTTTCTCCTTCAGAAATGAACCACATGATTCATTTCGATTGAAATGTGTGCTTTCAGAAACAAAGTAAGACGACGTGTGTGCTGTACCTGTGTGGCCCTGGAGTTTCTGCACAATCTCCTTCGTCTGCAGGTTCCAGATATAAACCATGTTGTCCTCTGAGCCCGACACGATCCACTGCAAGAGAGCAGCCGCGGAGCTTTAGGTGCGAGTTACACTCATCTGCACATGGCCAGTTACTTGAAAAGTGTAAATGATTACACAAACAGTCCAGGGGAGACACTGAACAGCAGTTACATGTTACATTAAAGATGAGTGGTTAACACTCAGAGGAACAGGAGCTCTTACCTTTCCACCGGTGACGGAGAAATTTGCAAATATGCAGTACTTCTCGTTTTTATGGCCTGTGTACGTTTTCAAGCACTGAAAAGATGGAAGACGAAGAATAAAATAAACATCTGAATCACACTGTCAAAAATATTCCCATCAGCACAAACTGGATTATTGTATTTACTAGTAAACAAAGGTTTAAGAGATTAGAATAATTTACTGTAATTATCAGGTTAAACATAACATTAAGGTAGGTAGAGATTTGCATATAAATATATTAAACTAGACTGGAAACATGAGACTGATTCATTCTAAATTACACTCTTTGTAGGTCAAACTAAAAGAATTATATAATAATTCAAAAAGATTATATTTGAAAACATCACAAGTGACTTATACATGAAGAGTTGAGCTCACCTTTCCTTTGCTGTAGTCCCACAGCTTCAGCGTGCTGGAAAACAAACACAAATACAGCAAAACAATGTAAAAATCAACAATATTTTATTCATGTTCACTTCATGTACCTGCTGTTTGTATAAACCTGGAGGTGAGGAAAGCTGATTATAGTGTTATACTGCCCTCTGCTGGTGAAAACGTGTAAAAAGGAAGCATATAAATGACATAATGAAAACTAAAACAAACAGGAGCTGCAGGGACTCAACACTCACTTGTCCAGTGTAGCAGCCAGGATGTATTTTCCGTTGGGGGAAAACTTCACGAATGACACAGGGGGGTTGTCATCGTCTAATATAAACACAAAGAAGAAGACAGAACAGTCAGCACAAGAACAATAAATAAATAAACACTGACTTTTTCACATATTTTATACCATAATTCACAAAGAAATTGGATTTTCTGTCACTGATCTTAACCACTGTTTGCTGTAACAGATTCAACCGAACCAGGTCAAGGGGACTGAAGATGGATGATCTTACCTATGAGTGTCTTTAAACACTGCCCCGAGGCTGTGTCCCAGATTCGGCTGTGAATGTAAAAAAAAAAAGAAAAAAAAAAAGATTTAATTAGCAGTTGATAAAGTTGTTAAAATATTCCATTGTTAGAATACGTACACAGACACAGACACACACAGTAGAGATATAATCCATACACATCAGCTACATGTTTCAGGCACTGTCACGACACCTAACTCCCACATGGAGAGTATTATTCATGTTTAGTCTCTTAAATGTATTTTGCCATCTTCATATTCTGTTGACTGCCATGAAATCCGGATTTAAAAAGAAGTGGCAGCAGCAAAAGAAAGCCATTAGAAAAAACTAAATAAATAAAATACACAGTGAAGCAGAGCATTTCTTCACTACATGGAAGAAAGACTCCGTCTGGTTACAGCTCAGTGACACAGATATGTTCTATGTAGAGTGTTGCCAGTTCCTGTCAAAGGCAAATCAGACTAGCTTATTTTCTTTAATATAAGCACTGGTGATAAGAGAACTGTGTCTGGTGACTCACAGCTACAGCCAGCCAGCCAGCCACCCACACACACACACACACACACACAGCACACACACACCAAAATGGCCACATTACACACAGAACCACACACAGACACGACACACAACAGACAACCACACACACACACACACACACACACACACACACACACACACACACACACACAGCAGCAGCAGCAGCACCAGCAGCAGCTTATTAACTGGGGCTTGGTTATGAAGCTAATAGAGCTGGAATTTGTTTTATGGTCGTTTTGAGATTCTGAAACTAAGAAATTCGACATCTGACAACACATGAAAATGAACACACTGTTGGTTACTACACGTTATTTATGTCATTTCTGTTCTTTGGAGCCTTAAACAGCATGTTTGCGCATTTCTCAGTCATATCTGTCTGGCTGCTCTCCCCTGATTGGTCAATGTCAACTGAAAAACAAAACAACTACTCAATCACAGATGCAACAAACAAGCCAGTCCACAGTATGTGAGCAGAGCTAGCGTAGCTTCACCATTTTTTACAATGCTGTGGCAGTGCCAATACTAATTAGCATTTCTGCACCAATGTAACAATACAATGAGAATTTTAATTACATCTGCAAACAGAATGTATCTGCCTCTTGCAGGCACACTGTTGCTTCTGTAGTACGACATGTCTGAATACACATTTACATTTGTAAATATTGACAAGGCATTTTCTAATAAGCCCCATCCTACGCATTGTTATTAAAGACGCAAGACTTTAAATTATTCTCTTTATTACATAAGAGCATAGTGGCACATTATGCTGTGCGGTGGCAAATAAGTTTCAAGATCCATTACGTGTTAAACTGACTGTGTAGTAATCTGCTAATGAGGAGCACCGCTTGACATTTCTACTGTGCTATTACTGAGGGCAAAGAGGCAACACGACTGACAGTGTACTTGGCTACAAATTAAAAAAAAACAAAAAAAAAACCTTATTGCATTTAATTGTTTTGACTATTGTGATGTGTGTGCAAAAAAAACCAAACAAAATAATATAATTTGTTCTCACCAGAGGCCGTCATAGCTACTGGACACAATGAGGGAGCCGTCTCTGTTGAAATGAACCTGTGAGGCGACACAGATCATCACGTTACCGACATCATGTTAATCTTTCGTCTGGAAGATTGAACTTATGTTAAGAATTTAAAAATAATAACTTACAGCAGAGACTGGATCAGAATGAGCTGGCAATGTTTTCAAACATTTCCCAGTCTTCACGTCCCATATCCTCACACTCTCGTCAAACTAGATGCCAAAAAAAAAAAGACAAACATTCATCTCCGTTTTCCTTTTTTTTTTTTTTTTTTAAACCTCGCAGAGACATGCTTCTAATGCTCGAAGTGAGTGCTTTGGAAAAGGTCTAACATCTGGTTTCCATTTACTGCTTGTTTCATGCCAAAGGCTTCGTACTCACCGATCCTGACACGATAAGATTGGACTGGGGGTTGAAGTTGCAGCAGAAGACGTAGTTGCTGTGACCTTTTAGAGTTTTTAGGCATTTTCCCTGGATGAAAGAAAAATAAAAAGCAGCTGAAATGTCACATTCTCGCTGGCAGCGGAACAGAGGTGAACAATTACTCCTCACCCCGGAGCAGAAGAAGTATTAGACCGTCCTCAGCTAACACAGTGGAAGCAGCTGCTGCTTCAACGGGGATAAAAAATTTAAACATAAGCTGGAACCGCAGATATGGATCCAAACGGTGTGCATGGATTTTAATGTTTGTACCTCATGAATTTATAATGCTACAAGACGCTGCAACAAGGCCTGACCAGTCACACTCTCCTGCACGTTTAGTTTGGCATAATTGGGAAGCCAGTTGTACAAAACCGTTTCAGTCTCTTACCGAGCTGACGTCCCAGATCTTCAGGGTTTTGTCATCTGATGCAGACACCAAGAGGTTGGAGTCAGAGGACCAGGCCACATCAGATATGCCCTGTGGAGTCACAGGAACTAATTAGTCACATAGCACTAAAGGCTCTGATTAGCACAGCAGGTGTGCAACATAACAAAACCACGGCTTTATTGATGCGTGCAGCTGTGGCCTCTTTATCGCGGATGCTACAACTGCTCCACCTGACAAATACAATCCCATTTTTCAAAACATCAAACAAAATAGCATCAACACCGCAGCAGCAAAGATGAGAGATTGATAAACTCACAAGTTTATGTCCAGATATGGTTTTCTCAAACTTGCCGTCATACGCTCCCCAGATTTTGATGAGTTTATCAGCAGCTGTAAAGACAAAATAAATGTGCAATCACTGTTGCTGTAGCCTCCGTACAACCAGATTCACTACTGTGAACGGGTGTTTCTTCTTTCTTTTACAAAATGGCTTAACACTGACAGGGCATATAACAAAATCCCATATAAATAATTTACAGTAGAGCTTGTTAATTGATTAGTCATATGTGAAAAATGGTAAAACAACTCACATGAGCTGGCGAGCCATTCTCCACTGGGACTGAATTTGACAGAGGAGACGGCTTTCGTGTGGCCCGCTAATGTGAATTTCAGGCTGTAGTTTGGCTTGGCAGGTGCAGACTGTAAATGAAAACACGTCATGACATTTAAAACTCTCCCCCAGCCGTGTGACAAGAGGGCAAACATTAGTTTGTAATTAGACAAGAACCACTAGATATTTCCTCACTTACAATTACCATAAAAAACTAATGAGTTAAGAGACACTGCAGGAAGCACTAAAAATATTCAAGAAATCCAAACCTTGCTTTGACTGGCAGAAGCTGATGGTGCAACTGGAGGTTTTGTATCTGTGTCTGGTTTCTTATCTTCTGTTGCCATGGTGAGGAAATCAGCATCTATTGTGCAGGATCCTGACACAGAGAAGAAGCAGACATTGAAATAAGTTAAGAATTAAATTCTTTAGAAGTTAGTCAGTGCTGTTACATTCAGACAACCAAGGACAGAAAGGTGCTTGCAGCCTGAGAGTTTTGTGGGAAATGGCAACATGAAGGGTTTACATATTCAAATGTGAAACAGCCAAACGGTTCCATATTTAGAAAGGTCTCCAATAAGCAGCTACTCGCCAGTATCACAACACAACACAACACATGATGATGCATTAGTGTTTAATTAAGACTACAAAATATAGACTACATTAGTAATTACACAATGAATTTGCATTGGTTTGTGTCCATAATAATTAAAGCTGTAACAATGGTCCCTCCAAGAGATTTGTATGCCAGATTTCATTGACAAAACGATCAAATATAAATTCCCAGTGGTTGCTTTGATACGTATGCTAATCTTGTAAACCTTTAACAGAGGGGAGCCAGTTCATGGCTATGCAGCCTCTGGAAATGACACTGTAATCTCAGTAAGTGTTGAACACTAACCGCTTGGCAAAAGGTACAGATTTTCTACTAGTGTTTAGTGGTTAAAAATACCTGATCTGTTCGATTGATTTCTCCTTTAGCTATGAATGTAGCCTTTCTCAATTAGCTTTAGCTAGCTAATGCTAACTTGTCTTGTAAATATTTAAAGAAGTAAACAGAAACATTTCACACAGTAAGCTGAGGCCAGTTTGTGTTCATTTCAAATGGCTCGATGGCAATTCGTGTTTAAATGTAATAAAGCTGTAACAGGAAAATTCAAACAAAGGCTGCAACGGAACCTCTCGACTCAAACTGACACTAACTTCCCAGTGTAGATACGATATTTATTTCAGTATTTAAGATTTGAACTCTGACAGAAAGAGATAACTCTAAATATTAAATCCACTGGTTTTTATAACAAGAGCTAAATACAGTATGATCATTCCGTCTGCCTTAAAGTGATTGATGCTGTTGACAAATCGCCAGAGCTGCCACGGACGGGCCCTCCATTCAAACAATGAGGAATCAGTGGTTAGACGATACTCACGGGAATTAAATGCAGCTCCGCGATCAGAATGTTATTCCTCGTAAAGACTGGTGAGAGAAACGCACGTACATTTATTCAGACGATCATGTATGAAGCATATAGCAGTCAGCTTGCTCCTGAATGTTTGTCTGCGAGGAGGAAGCTGCGAGGAGAAGCGGGGAATGTGGTGTGGTGTTGCTTGTTTGCGCATGCGCGTTACACTCAGAAGTAACGGGAACTAATGAGGGACATTTTAAGTGTGAAAGTCATAAATATTTTAGCCACTTTATTTTTTTAATTGTTTTAGATATGATTTTCCAGCTTTGTCCTACTATAAACAATTTAATTTTACTTTTACTGCCTTATAATTAATTCGCCATTATAATTTCTTATGGGTACTTTATAGCAATGTATCTGGGTGACTGCAGTTGCAGATTAGCTCATCTTGCCTAACTGTGGCACATTTAGAAATTAGATTTATGTTTAATAATGGGCTCTGTGACTGATACATTACCACCAGTACATCTAAATTTGACCACCTTTTTAACCATAGGGCAATAATGTAAGATAAGGAGATGTTTATGAATATTGGCTGGAGTGTCGAAGTGAAGAATTGTTTTGTTCACTTCATTCATTCATTTTTTGTCACCACTAATATTAATACTCTATATTATATTATATTATATTATATTATATTATATTATATTATATTATATTATATTATATTATATTATATTATATTATACTATATTATATTATATCATATTATATTACTAGAACATATATTGGTACTATATGTCTCTACACACTCCAGTACAGTAGGCAGTATCCATGTTTACTTTTGGAATGAGAGCATGCACAGATTGATTAGTTATTGAATAATTTATTGATGATCACTGTTTGTAATGTATGGGGAAGGAACATGATATAACAGTAGCCTATACACACTTCAAGGTATACAGTGGAGTATGGAACTCCACACAATAGTGTATGTAGTCCATTTTTATTCAATATAATGATCAATGGCATCTTCTCTCAGGTTGAACAAAGGACTGGAAAATCTTTGAATGTGGATGAAGGGGCTAAGAGGCTGCAATGAATGAGCACCTGTTCAGCAGGTTAAAGCTGCTGCGCAATAGCACAGTTGGTAAATGGATTGGTTGTTGAAGAATTTATTGATGATCATTGTTTGATGTGTATGTGGAAGGTACATGGTGTAACAGTAGCCTATACAAACTCAACAGTATTCAGTGGAGAAAGGAATTCCACAAGGTGGTGTATGTAGTCCGTTATTATTCAACATAATGATCAATGGCATCTTGTCTCAGGTTGAACAAAGCATAGGAAAATCTTTGTGTGTGGTTGGTGGGGCTTTGTGCATAAGATGTCAGTAAGAAAATGTGAACTGCAATAGTTGAAGTGGAAAAATGGGCAATTAAATGGGGATTCAAACCATCTGTGGCAAAAACACAAGTAATTTGCTTCTCAAGGCGGCATACAATTGCACCAATCTCCTTAACATTTTATGAACATCTGGAGCAAGTAAGAGCTATTAGATGTCTTGGGGATTGGTTTGATGAAAAGCTAATGACAAGGAAGCTTCAAACATACTTTGTTGTTTGTCTGGACAGGCAAGTAGAGCATATCTACAAAGTGATGGGTACTCATGAGATCTGTCTTGGACTATGGATATGTAGCTTAGCTTACATGTCAGCAGCAGAATCGAACCTTAGGAAGTTAGATGTATTACAGGCCTAGGCCCTGAGAACCTGAAGTGGATCATCCAAAACATCCCCAGTATCAGTAATCCAGGTGGGAATGAGACATGTCTTTAAGAATCAGAACAGTGAATCAGAGGCACTGGCATGCTGGGTTAATCTCCAGGGACAATGTGATGAAAATCCTGCCAAAAGTGATAACAGACTGCTGGGAACATAATGAGACAAATCTCACAAGTTTTAGGTGAATAAGTGATGCAAAGGCAGAAAACTTAGGGTTACACCAATTAAAGTGGAGCTCCACAGTTTCAGTTTCTTCCATGTTTCCCTTGTCATTCCTCTTGCCAAATGTTGATCTCAATACACAGCAGGAATTGAAGGACGATGAACCTGACATTTATTATTTATTACCTGTTGGTGCTAGGAGGGTGGAGGGCAGGAAACAGAAGGAAGAAAATGTCATCACCTGTCTGAGAATAGGTCATACAGGATTCAACCATAAATTATATAAAATAGACAAGCATCCAAATGTAAAATATATACACTGAAACCAACAAGAAACAGTCAAACGTGGCCTACTACTTCATTGTAGGAAAAAAGAGAAATTACCTTTTTCAGTCACTAAGGAGGGCAAAATTACCATGATTTTTCATTGTAGGGTCTCTTAGGGAAGTAGGTAATATATGGTGACCTTATTAAGTTTTTAAAACAAACTGACTTCGCTAAAATAATCAACTTTTTTCCTACATAAGCTCGTGTTCCACACTCAAGTCCAGTAGGTGGCGGTATTGCGCCTATAAGTTGTTTGCCAACCGCCATAAACACCGACGAAGAAGAAGAGGCAGCAGGCGGAGGAAACTTCTCAGTTCGTGGCTTCAACGTTGGTCTAACGGTACGATGTGGAGCATAACTGGGCTCTCTAGTCAGGCTACTGTGCGGGAAGCAGCGTCCTCTGAAGTACAGCAGCTCCTGAACTGACGTTCCAACGTGTCTTCATAAGAGAATAAGTTGGACGAGTTGGTAATAACTTTAGTAGCTTGTCTCGTATGTTTTTACTCGTGACTCTCACGTCACCCTCAGCGAAACAAGTACATGTTTCTGCCGCCGATATTCGAAGATAAGAGCTAGGTTAGCTGCAGGGTGGCTCTGCTGAGGAAAAAACTTTGAAACTCAAAACGTCACCTCTAAACAAAGCGGGACTCTCGAAAAATCACAAGTTGGCAATATGAAACTTGGTAATACATGTAATTACGCCTTGTGTTTATCGAATAATGGCACTGTGGGCGTTAACTATCGCCACCTCGCTGAATTAGGTTAAGCTAACAACAGACCAAGCCTTAGCTTAGTTGCAGCTTAGCCCGTTAGCTTTACCTGTAGCCGCATGGTGCGATGTTTATTTTTCTTTTTAAAAAGTTTGCAAGCTATTTCTTTGCTTTCTTGTCCAGCGTTACGTTAGCACGTATGGTAACATGTCAACAGTAAAGTAGCATTGTCAAAAGGTGAAAACCAGTAGGTTCAATGGTTTATTGCTATAAACTATGTTATATCGGTGAAGCTATAGTTTCTCTGTCCAAACCTTCTACTATGGGGGAAATGCCACGTGTTTCACTTTATTTCTCATTTCCTATGCAATGTGACAATAAAACACCCCAGAATTACATTTTATATTACTGTTAGGCTTCTTTTTTTATACTGCTTGTCATTATTAAAGTATTTCACTACACGTTTTTCCCCAGCTAGAGAAAGCCACTATTAAAACTTTTTTGTCATTAACATAATAAACTATAGGAGCAAACATTGCATTCCCCACTAATAATACAGCTTCCCCTCCACTTGTCTAAAAAGTAAACAAAAACACATGAATTAACCACAAAAGCTGTAAAACATGAGCACATGGATGCACAGCTCATAGCCATGTAGATGGGGTGTGTGGAGAACCACTTAAATTAATTCATGTGAGCAAATCAAAACATCTCAGCAGAAATGATGTTTTATGGTATTTAACTAGATAAATGTCTCAGTTTACCTTTGTATCAAGTCTTGTTTACAGTTTTGATCAGTAATTTGATTAGATTTGTGTTTTTGCTTTTGTTCACAATGGTTGATGTCACAACATTTGATGAGCATGCCCCCTAAACTCTTTAATCATGCTTATAAAAGCAAGCACTTTTTTCCAACTTGTCTATAAAATTAGGAGAAAGAAAATCAATATTTCCCAATGTATTTCCATGTGGCCTGGGCATTGCTGTGCGCGTTAGCATTTGAAAAAATGGGGACATCTGCTGGCCAAATTTCTGACATTTCATTTACATGGATGAAGGAAATCTGAGACCATGTTGAAACTGTCTGAATCCAAGTGGTCAAGGAGGCTTTGTTTTCACCTGCGCCTGTTTTTTTAATTGTAAACTGGATTATGCATAAAAAGTAGTGAACTGATTTTCACTAAAGGGAGGGATGGGGCACGAGCCAGAGAAGAACCTATTAAATTTAGGTGCAGAGCTTGTTAAATGGGCAGAATTTTTTTAATCACTTTCCTTAACATTGCGAAATAGGAAATAATGTATGAAACTTATGACTTACTATTTTTTATTAATAATCATGTTATCAGACTACCTCCTTTTTCCTTTTATTTTTCTAGTATAAGAGCTACACAGATGTGTAAGATTGTTTGACCTTGGTGGAGGTATGTGCTCTACAGAGTGCCATTCTAGTTATTAATATTGTTATTTTGTTCAATAAAATATGTTATGAAAAGTCATAACTCTTGAACAGACTGAACAAATACTGTGGCAGAATGAGAAGCGAGAAGTAGCCCACATTTAGTATTCGAAACCAGTCCTACAACGCTCTGATACGTGTGATGGGATTCAAAAGAGGCAAGTAGTCTGCTCTTTTTTTACTTTGCGGCATCTGAAAAAAACAGTTTCTATCAAAATGGATTCTTTATTTAAACAGATCAGCGTGCAGCATCTCAGCTTGGGTGACGCAATTAATTGAGCTCTATACATTTAGGTGTTTGTTTCTAATAAGGCTCAAATTAGCATAAAAATCGGAGTAAATCAACCATAGTAGCAGGAGACTACGTTGTCAGGGGATGCTATTTATTTTGGGATTGATCTGTAATCGACCGCATTATCTCAACCTTTTTTCTTATATCAACAGGTTACCTTGTTTGGTGTGACAACTATGTATGAATCTGGCTGGTGTTCTCTCAGAGATTTGGAAGAGCTGACTGACAAAAGCTACAGAATTCACAGAAGATAACAGAAACCAGCAGAGCTTGTGTGTTCATTTCTTGAAGACCAGTTGCTTTTGGCTGCCACCACCATGTCAGCAGAGATAGAACCAGTTCCTCCACAGGTTGTGAATCCGCCGCCTCCTGAGGTAACCGACCCCAACAAGCCGGGCCGAAGGACCAACCAGCTGCAGTTCATGCAGAATGTAGTGATCAGATCCCTGTGGCGGCACCAGTTCGCCTGGCCTTTCTACCAGCCTGTCGATGCAGTTGCTCTTGGACTACCTGTGAGTAGTTTGCAAATGTTGTGTGATGTAAATGTCCTTCAAACTTTCAAAGCTGCTTTCAATGTCATATTTATCACCACACATTTTAGTGGGGAGTGTTTGGTTGTGCATTTAATTTATTTATCAACACAAAACTAATTAATGTGATTTCTTTTAGCCACTCTGATGCCCTGTTTTTGCAAGTCAGAAACACATCAGAAAACAAATCCTGAAAGAAACGCATATCTGCAGCCCCTGTAGTGACTTTAGATCTGCTCTACAGTTGCCACTACAGTTGTGATAGACATCCCTATTAAAGGCAGCTGTACTGTATATGTGCTACCAACTATACTTCTGCACAGAAAATATTATATACAACAAAATAAAGTGGTGTACAGGATTTGGATGCCTGAATTAGAGGGGTTTTTTGTTTGTTTTGTTTTTCACACGCCAATCCCCACAGTGTAACTGTCTGTAACAGTGATTAGTCTAAAATGTCATATATGTGTTTGTCTTGCGTTGTGGAAAAATCCCCCTCCCCAAAAAAAACTATACTTTACTCTTTTCTTACACTGGGGTAAAATTGCTTCTGAATCCTTAAATTTCCTCTGTTTTCATCATTCTTTCATTGCAGCTATTGATGTTTTTGCTTCTCCCTAAGCTGTTTTTCTTTCTCCCTTGGTTTTTGGTTGCCTCCTAATCTGCATGCACACCCCACTTAAACAACACAACACAGTGAGTACAGAGACACTGGAGTGTGTCCATTCAGTCTCAATCTTATTCATTTATATCTTATAACCATACATTAGTCATTACAAATAATCCTAAAATTTGCAAATATAAGCTTTATTCTATGTCACTGCATCTTTAACCTGTTAGTCAGCATTTAACTAATTACATAATAATTTGAGGTAAATGCTTTGGTTCCAGAATTTAAACAAATTGTATGAACAGGGACTATTTCTTGAGTGGTCCCAAAACCGGGGTTAATCCCCGGTAACTGGGACATTGTTTATGAAATAAGATCATCTCTTTTGAATTATTGTGGAGGCGGAAATCTCAGAGACTGATATTTCAGGACCCTGGCAAATAAAACCAAAACTATCTGCATGCCTAGATACCTTGTTAAAGGGGTTACCACTTTGGTCTGAATTTACATAATTTTGGCCATCACTTGAATTGGTTATGTAGACAGACAGGGCAAGAAACATTAGTGTTCAGATGATCAGAATGCTTAGTTGGGTAATTATTTTATAGTTTACCTTCGCTTTTGTTTCTGGATTATTTAAGGATTTACTTTTTTGTGATTGTCTGACTGCCAGAGTTTCTTGTCCTGTCTGACCTTGTTTCTGCTGTGTTCAATGAAAGGGGGAGGCCAAAACTGTGACAATAAGACCCAAATTGTTGTGAAGTTGAATGATTCTGCTTGAGTCAACCCATTAAATGTTGAATACAGGAAATGTGCACTAACAAACTCTTCTTTGTCAGTCAGACTTTGACAGATCCTTTTCAAGTTGTGGGACAAAGGAAAAAAATAAGATGACATTCATCTGACACGTTGATTCTTTTTCTTAATCAGGATTATCATACGATAATAACGTCTCCCATGGACATGGGAACCATCAAGAAGCGACTGGAGAACAACTACTACTGGAGCGCAAGTGAATGTATGCAAGATTTCAACACCATGTTCACCAACTGCTACATATATAACAAGGTGAGGAACTTCATGATTGAATATTCATCACACCGGTTCGCCTCACAGAAAGTAAATCCTCACAGATTTTCATCTGTTCTCTAGCCTACAGATGACATAGTACTGATGGCCCTCGCCTTGGAAAAAATCTTCTTGCAGAAAGTTTCCCAGATGCCTCAAAGGGAAGTGGAGGTTTTACCTCATGCAGCCAAAGTGAGGGGCAAAAAAAGTAGCACTCCAGGTAATCAACTATTACTTGTATGAAAATTGAGCTAGGCTACTTATCTCTCTTTAAATGTATATATGTTTTTAATTAGTTGTGCAAAACATTGTATTACTTTGGTGACCCTCTGCCACTACTCTTGTTTCTGTCTGTTTGAAATGCTGCTGCTCAGGCCTTCAAACTTTTCTCCTCCCTTTTAAATCACCAAAGGTTTAATTTTGCAGTTGTGGAAATTGGTTATTTTTTATCATTCCACATTGAATTATAATGCAGTTATGAAATGTATAAAACTATTAATGTGGTAATTGTGTTTCTCTAATATTATCTTATATTATAATTATATCTTATATTTGCACAAATTCAGTGCCCCTGAAAAAACTTCTCCTAAACGTCTCTTCATAAATTAGAGGGAAAAAAATCTGCATGGAGCAACACATAGACATGTGTTGGTGTCCAATTAGTACAGGTTATGCAGATGGCAGTTAAATCGCTGTTTCACTACTCTTTGCCAGCTAGAAAAAATTAAAAAATCTAAAGGTACCTTCGACTATTTTATTTTATTTTTTTCTCTTTGAATTTGTGTTGATGAATGCATACAGGTGGGCCGGATGGAGCTGTGACAACAGAAACAGCCACAAAAGTGAGTCCCCATTTGTTTCTCTGTCCCCCAATCATCATAATTTAAAACCTGAGAGCATGAGAATTTTACATTATTATGGTGGTTTTTTTTTGGTTCCAATGAAGAAGAAAGTGCTGAAAAGGAAGGAGGAGGCAACCACTGATTTGTTGCCAGGAGTCCTCATAAACAATTTGAGTGATATATCAGAAAGCAAGAGGAGACGTGAAAGCTCAGGCCGAGCTGTCAATCCTTCTAAGAGTGGCTTTGAAGAAAAGGAGTTGTCACAACATGAAACTGAACAGGGCAGACAGAGCGAGCAGCTCAAGTACTGCAGCGAAATCCTGAAGGAAATGCTCTCGAAAAAGCACACAGCCTACGCCTGGCCTTTCTACAAGCCTGTCGACGCTGAAGCTCTGCAACTTCACGATTACCATGACATCATTAAATACCCCATGGACCTCAGCACTGTTAAAGTACACATATATATATATATATATTCATACATACAAGCATGTCTGTTCACTTAATTTCAATGTATTTGCTAACATTTTGTCTTATTTAACAGAAAAAGATGGATGGAGGAGAGTACCGGGATGCACAAGGTTTCGCTGCAGATGTTAGGTTAATTTTCTCTAACTGCTACAAATACAACCCTCTGCATCATGATGTCGTAACAAAGGCCAGAAAACTTCAGGTGTGTTTTAAATGATTAAATCTCACAGTTCAAGAGATTAAATGTTTTTACTGGTTCTCCAGGCTCGGGTTTCCATTTCACTCAATTCTTCTTCTTTGTGCTTGTGTTTACTTCAGGGCGTGTTTGAGAAGAGGTTTGCAAAGATGCCAGACGAGCCTGTGGAGTTGATTTCACCAGTGAGCGCCACGTCCACTAAGAGTGCCAGTTTCAGTGGGATAAGTGGCAACAGTTCATCCAGTGGGGACAAATCAGACTCAGCAGAGGAGCACGTCACCCGCCTTGCTGAGTTGCAAGAACAGGTGGGTGCAGAACAGGTGGGTTCCTGCACAGATCTCTATACAACAAAGGCTTGTTATGTACTGCAACCACGTTCATTCACTGACCTGTTACCTTTCTTATGAATGCATCCATAGCTTATATGCACTAACTATAAAATCCTCTGTTTATTGTTAAATAAAATGAAAATATAGCTTTTGTATAAGTTAAAACCACACATGAAATCATTAAAAGGTTCACTTTAATTCCACTTTAGATGAGTTTTTTCTGGAGGCAACAACATGTTTTGCAGCCATCTGTTTCAGTTTTGCACATTAATCTGCCAACGTCACAGTTTTTTTGCACACGTGTATGTGTACTGTGCTGTCAACTGGCTCAAGCAAACATTTGCTACAAGCAACATATTATAGGAGTTATATGTCACTGCATTTTTCACAATGTCATGACAAGATAATCAATTAAAAAAAAAATCAACATAATCAAGAATGAAAATAATCTTGGGACAGTGTCTGCAGCAAAGGACTATGTGTTGTGCTGTGGCATGATTTTCCTGGGGATGTTGTCTTTCTCAGTATGAAAATACTGAATCTGAAATACACAAACTTAAATTATTCCAGCTCTCAGGAAGAGACCTGAACATGTGACTGGCATCATTTTGTACACAGACACACACACACACATACATATATATATATAAACACAATGGGATCACAGGACCAATAAATTGTGCTCTATACAGCAACATTGTAAAAGAGGTTTAGTGTGATGAGATTTGAAATGCTTCCGCAACAATGACCTGCACTGCGGTCTAACAGGACATTACGATAACAACAAAACAATTTCTACCATCTTACCTTCTGGCTCAAAAATATGCAGCAGGGAGAAATCGATGCATAAAGAATATTGGTAGGAGAAGATATTGTTGACTGATAAATTATTATGCTGAGCTGTACCTAGCATACAGTAAATCTTCTCGCATACAGCTTGTTTGGTTTCTTGGTGCTGCTATTTTTCCTGGCACTTTCATTTTGATATTATTATATGGCACCACAGTGACGCATCTCTATTGACTCTATATGCAGCTCAAAGCTGTTCATGAACAGCTTGCTGCACTCTCTGAATCCCCTGTGATTAAACCAAAGAAGAAAAATGAAAAGAACAAGAAAAAGGACAACAGTAAAGGCAATACATATTCCAAAAGTGATTCACATTTCAGGTATGACATTTTACATAACTTAACAACTTTGTTTACATAGTATATTACCTCCATAGAGACTCGTCCTTTGACTGCTTCGTCTTGAATTTCAGGCAGTCATGGAAGGAAAACAAAGACTGGGAATCAGATGATGAATCTCTGCCGATGACGTATGATGAAAAGCAGCAGCTGAGCCTGGACATTAATCGCTTACCTGGCATGAAGCTGGGTCGCGTGGTGCACATTATTCAGACACGAGAACCCTCAATGTGTGACACCAACCCAGACGAGATCGAGATTGATTTTGAGGTTCTGAAGCCGTCCACTCTGCGGGCGCTGCAGCGATATGTCAAGTCTTGTCTGTATCAGAAGTTTAAGAAGTTTCAAAGTGAGTGCAAAGCCTTTCCACTTGCTTCCTTCCTGACATTTGAGTTATTAAGGTGCTAACAATCCAAAGAATTTAACTGCTAGGATACATTGGCATCTGATGTAATTAATTGGTCATGGTCCTTTCTTTACTTCCCTTCAACCAGAGAAAAGCAGTCAGGCTGCGTCCCAAAACATCAGCAGCAGCAGTTCTTCAGATTCTGCCACGAGCAACTCCAGTGACTGCAGTTCAGACAACAGTGACTCCTAATAACTGTATTGTTTTTATTTATTTCTTTTGTGACCAAAAAAGAGTTCTTAAAAAATGTTAAACATGTTTATTTTTGTATTTGTTAAATGTTCACTGTGTTGGACATCAAACTTCCCACACAAGGTTTTTGTATTCAGTGTGGCTTCTCTCACTTTTCTTTATAAATCACAATATCCATCACTGGTGTTTTTTTTATCAGACACTATAGATCCACAACACAGCCGGATGCCATACTGCTGGAGTTGAGGTGTATTTCATAAAATCTGAGTTTCAACCAATATCCTGTTTCTGTAATTCATGTTCCCCATACTATTTAATTAAAGGCCTTTTTTCAAATGCGACTGTGTCATGTATGTTTATCTCTATAGTGGACAGGGTACCTTAAGTTTTTTTTATTAGAAAAATTAGGAAGTAGGTAGAAGGAGTATATAAGGATTTAGTTCCAGTTGAGTGAAGGAACACAGCTCCACACATAGACCATACTTAACAGTGTCAGGAGTATTTTCCATTTTACTTGGGGAAGAAAAGTTTTCTTCTTACCAAAGAGCCTCAGATGTGCACAAAAAAAGATTTATATATTTGATGCCAATTACCTGTGGCAAATCAGAAGCAATTTGAGCATAGATAAAGGCACAGAGCATGTTCTGTCAGTGCTGCTGTTAGTGCTTTCAGGGGGTGGTGAGTCAAACATGGGAACATGCATTTAGAGTACACACTGCTTTTGGTTACGTTGCCTTCATGCTGACTAAATATAAATCAACCATATTATGTATCAATTGACTCAGAATTGATGCTTTGGAATGAAACACATTTGTCTTACAAACGTTTATTATAGAACATGAATTTATTTACATATATTGTAAATCAGAAAAAGTAGTACATTGTTTTCTAAGCTGAAAACAGCAGAGTGTGGATCAAACTGATGTCTGTGATTATTGCTCCATGAACCATAATTGTTCCAGGCAGAACAGTTTGACATCTGTTCAACAATAACCTATGTAAAGAGTTATACCAGTGTTTTGCAAAGTGAAGGCAATTTTACTCTGAATTACTTCTAATGAATACTTTCAGCATGATGTAGTGTTTTAATTGTGTTTTCATTACATCCAGGCTTCGTAAGATGTGGTATGAAAGTCAACTTATGCAGACTTGAAACTTGAGTTCAGTCATCCATCAAAGTGAACATCACATCTGCTGTTGTTTGCGTCTCTTGATATCTTTGTTGGATGGCAATGCAGTGAAGACCTTTCAAATCACTCTGCTCTAATAACTGTAACCATGCAACAACAGTGCAACTCTGACAAAAGTAAGAACAAAAGTGATGCCGATTACCTCACTCATATTTCAAGTTTCAACTGTTAGGTATTTCTTAATTCTGTATGAACAAGAAAAAAAACAGCTGGGGCCTTAAAAAGTATGTTAAAAAAAAACAGTCAGTAGAAATATCATTTGTAGTAAATGAACCGCATTTTTCTTCAGGGAAGTCTTTTTTTTATGACTGACACTTGAATGTAATGCAGTGTGTTTATGTACTACATAAAAATCAAACCTCCTCTTTCCTCCACAGGCAACTTTATTGTGCCTTCTCTAGATTATTATTACAAGTGGTCATATTTTTAAGCTTGGTACTCTGGATAAGAACCTAATAATTGAATCTGTCTGCTAACCTGGAGACACGCTGTTTTTGTTAGGTCTATTTTTCTCTTAATAAAAAGAAAAGCTCAAAGGTTGCTTTGTGTTTATTCAGTGGAATAGGTGTTAAGTAGCCTTAATATTGTGCTCTTTAGTAAACAGCACCACGGTGAAAGAAAGGCCCTTTGCCTGAAACACTAACTCCACTTTCAGCTGGCCTGCCAACTGCTCTGCAGAAACTGGCACGTTCCCAAAGCTGCCCAGTTCAAACAGCTGGTGCCTCCGCCAGCTTACGCTCCTTCAGATCTCAGTGCTTAGCTTCTTTCAACATGGACTAGAAACAGTGGAGCTGTGCAGTTGGGGAGGTTTACACGAGGAGCCTGTGATGGTAAAGCACTGATTCATACTGGCAGAGAGAAGATAATAAAATCAACTAAGTGGACAGGTTGGATATTGGTGACTACACACTGCTTGCGGTTTCGTAATCAACCAGAAGATGGCCATCATGCACCACCCTAAGTTTCACTGAGATTACTTTTCATAGTTTCACTTTTATGTTGAAGAAAATGCTGCAGTTGGAATGGGTTGTATAGCTTATGACTTATGCACTTCTTTTTTATCACTATTATTTTGATGACTTCAGTCATATATCACCTTTCATAAGAAAAATGAAGCTTAAAGTACTTTTTACTAATAGAAAACAACATAAAACTATTTTAATGAAAGAACAGACAAGATATTCATAAACATATTAAAGACCCTTTTTTATGAAACAGGTTAAGGATACATACAACATGTATCAATTGTGTGTGGATGCTGGGGAAAATAAAAAACAAGGATGCTCATACAGCCTCCTAGCCCAGTTTGCTGTCCTTTCACAGTTTGCATTGCAGTGGGACATTCACTTTGTGACCTGCACTCCCATCATGCAACATGGAACATGCTGCCCAGTGGCCTACGACAACAACCTTGGGGGCTTGATTGATCAATGCCGCAACTTCAGTGACAACTAGTCATTTCTGCCACTTCTGGCCATCACTCACATGTGCATGAATCCAATGCTAAAAAGACCACATGCGCAACTCTCTAGACACATCACATAAGAGACTGGGTTTGCTTTGATTAATGGATCTCTGGTTTTCATTTTCTTTTCACCACCTTGTAGAAGACCAATTGGGGGAAGAAAAATAATAGAAACTCAATGAATGTGGCTTCACAATGTCAATTTGAATCAAGGTATGTGGAATGAACTGCACATGCATGCACTTCTGCTCAGTAAACGATTTATGCTAATGTAACATATCAAGAATTTTAATTGCAAATTAGCTGATAATACAACTGTTCTCAGTGAAGTAGAAGCATATTTTTTAATATGCTCAATTTGTAATAGCGTGTATTGTGATTATTAATCTATTTTAAATATATTACTGATCCATACAGGAAGAGATTTTGCTGAGGATGTTATTTTACAGCCCTACCCTGACAGTACATATATTCACTTTCTGGGAGCTTCCGAGGACCACAAGCTTATGCTCAGCTGTATCCCTGTATCAGCTGGGGATTACATGCCTTGCACCAAGGCACTCAAATAGTAGCTGTTCAGGGACAGGAGAGCATTATTTTTCACTATTATTTCAAGTGCTGTGTGCCCCCCTTCTGGGGATCAAACCACCAACCCTCCAGTCATAAGCCTGTTGCTATAACCTTTAGGGCACCACTGCCTGTTCCTTTCCCATTTATCCCACAGTCGTTAGCCCAGTTCCTCGTGTTTATATGCTGTGTGTTTTCCTTGAATGTTATCTGTTGGTTTTCAGAAAAATGCATGGCGGAATTAAAGTAAAAGCCATATCAGGATATTCCAGCAGCATCTAGTCGAATTTGTCTGACCTTCACTTATCTGTCTAGACAGGATTTACAGAGCACATAGATGCTTCTCTTTTTACAATAGTTTTTCAAATTGTATACAGCTCCACGTATTATCATACGTGAACACAACTTTTCTCAGCTTGCTCTGGAGCTGGCGTGAGCATGGCAATACGGTTCCCCCTGGAAAAAGGCCTGCTTAAAGATTTATAAGCCATATTTTAGGCTGATGGGGCTGTTCAAAAGGTCTTTAAAGGTTAAGTGATCTCAAGGCTCCGTCAGCCAAACTCAAAGGCCATTTGTACATCACAGAATGCATCGTGCAAAGGACATTATCAACAGCCATTCACCCAGCCCATTTTAATGTGAGATTACAGAGTTTGTCAGAGTAAAGGAAGGTTTCAGTTAACCATTTAGAGTCCAGATTTGGTAGAATCTTAAACAAAGGGTGATTTAAAATGTATCTTTGACTCACAATAGCAGTTCGTCTTGCTGACAACACACTTCTTGAGGAGTGGCACCATTGAAAGTCCAAGAACATCTCAGAGCTGGTGTCAAGACCAGGGAAACCTCAAGGGATAAAATCTTCAAATGCCCACGAACTGCATGTATTTGTTCTGTGGAAAATGTCATCTTTAAACTAGCTCTCCAAGTGATGACTTTTGGTCAGATGGTAATATGCAGGTGGCGAAATTAAGCCCTGGGGCCCATGAATTGCTGCCCACATCCACAGTTGCTGTAAATGCTAGTAAAACCAATGAAAGAAAAGGTGCAGTTTTTAGATGAAGCACCCACTCTGCAGTCAGAGGTGTCTTAAAGGTAACAGGTGCAGGTAACAGAGAGGTTTAGTGTCAGCGACAACGTACTCCATGTCAGAAAATCAATCCTCTGTCTGAAAGGCCTACTTTTAAAGTACAATGGATGAATACAGGGGGATGAAGAAGGGATTAAAATTCAACACCTTCAAAAAATCTTCGAGAACCCGATTGATATGTGCTCGGTCCAGGGCAGTGCAAAAAATATCAGCTTCAATGTCTCTGCACAACACTTGCAATTTGTGGCCCCAGCCTCCTTGTCTGGAGTGTGTTAGCTGGTGGAGGTATCAAAATACAGTAAACTTTTTGGTTACATTGGTATAATTCTGTCACATTACTCTGAAAACATCTTGTATCTCTATGCCTTCTTGACATCCAGTGGTGTTTTAACACATTTGGGTGGGAGGTCATGTTTTTACCTGCCAATCCCAAAGCAAGCACTAAAGAAGGGGGACACTGGTAGACAGAAAGCAGAGTCCACAATATTCATGTCCGCTGTAAAGAGCTGACAGTGGCCGTTTGAGTCCTTCCTTAGGTCTGCATCTAAGTCCACACATGCATATTGATGATTTCAATGCACCCACTTGTATATAGCCTTGATGTATGGATCCTGCTTTGCAATGTTTAAAAAAAAAATAGAAGCACAGAACATGAGACTGATTTGCCGCTCCATTTTATGCCTGGAGATAAATTTGCCAAATGTGTTACGTCCCTGTGGAAATCTGGAGGTGGGAAAAGACAATGATGACTGAGCTGAGAAAGTAATGAGACATGACCAAGAGGATTTAACAAGGAACATGTGGCATATTGATGTTAGTGATAATTAAGTGATTAATTGGCCAAATGTGATTGTTTTATTAACAAGGACTGACACTGGGAAATTAAAGGGAGAGCGATTGAGAAAGGAAATTTCAAATGAAAGAAATGAACAAAATAAAACCCAACATATCTAAACAGCCGTAGGCTATTGCTTTGTGGAAAGCAGAAAGAAGCTGTGAAGATAACACTGACATATTATCATCACTTAAGCTGATACGTCAAACTTCAAACTTATTCTCTTTTCGGTCTGTTTTGCTTTTCACAAACTCCTGAGGGAAAAATCTGGTCCATTAGCTGCTAAATGCTCAACAAGTTGCTAATTTTGTCTGACATTCGTTGAAAACAGCCGCCTGTTGTGTCTGAAAACGAAGCTGATGAGAGCTGGAAGAGTGGACCAAATAGTAAAGTTGTGGGCTGTAAAACCCTTTTTGCTTTGAACATAAACATTTGATCCATTGTTAATATAAAAATATTGATTATATTAGCTTCAAACCATGTTATCTCACTAACAGAGAAGTTAAAGAAACTATTACAAGTTTTGCTATTGCTACATAGCCAACGTTAGCATTAACAGCTGTTTACTTTCCAGTCTAGAAGAAACGTTGCAAGCTCAGTATCAAACTTCATTTCTTTACTCACCATGTTGTCTCCAGACGTGGAAAGCAACACCATTGTTACCTCTTGCTTATATCACTTCTCTTTTTCTACTGAAGTTAGCATGCAAACCAGCTAGCCCTGGACTGTTCCAGCCTGTCTTGTCACTTTCTGACAGCAACTTATTGTGGCTTTCAGTCTGCCCTGAAGACTTAGCGCTGCTCAGTGGATGTATCATAGCCTCTTGTATTCTAAAGAAGACAAAGATGGCTGAAGCTCTTGTCGAGCGTCAATCGCCAACCACCCGCTACCAACATGAAACCATTTTTGGCGTCTTACTGTAAAACGTACTTAACGTTATAAGTCATTTCCACAGACGACATTTTAACTTGTCATAGTAGGAGGTGGTTCTGTCCTGTTCAATTCATAGCAGTCACAGGAATTCATGAGAGTGTGACAGGGAGCAAGCATGCACATCACCAGGACCCTGAAACTAAAGCTGCTAAATGGAACTCAGCCAGTATTCATTTTATTATTTATACTTGTGCTTTTCCTATTTTAATGTGTCAAAATGTCCTCTGCAAAAAAAAAAAAAGAAAAAGTGTGTGTCTGTCTGTGTGTTGTCTGTGGACTCTGTTTGGAACAGATTTTATGGCATCAAGGGACAAGCCACGACAGGTCAATCACATTTTTCAGTAGCAGAGTAGAGAGTGCATTTCTGATCACAGCAAATGTAGTGGTTTGTTTGGTGTGTTTCAATGGTACACAGATTAATATAGATTCACTGAGTACTTTATTAGGAACACATGTACACCTGCTTGTTCATGCAGTTATCCAATCAGCCAATCATGTGGCAGCAGTGCAGTATATACGATCATGCAGATACAGGTCAGGAGCTTCAGTTTATGTTCACATCAAACATCAGAATGAGGAAAAAATGTGATCTCAGTGACTTTGACTGTGGCATGATTGACTGGTCTGAGGTTTTCTGAAACTGCTGATCAGAATCACAGTGTGCTGTTGTGGAGATCACAGGGCTGTTCCATGAGAATACACCAAACAATTGTCTCATATAGTTTGTAATCTATATGACAATGACAACTGACCTAGGAAATGTATCATGGAATAATGTGTAATGACACCGAAAAAAAACAGACTGACAATGATTTGTCCTCGACTTGCTTTCTGGCTGCTTTCATCTATATTGTATCTGTCAACAGGATGTTGCTGTAGAAAAGATCATCAATGCTCAGCCAAGTTCCCCTAAAAATAAATAAATACATACAGTTCAGTGTAATTTTGTAAATATATCTCAGAGGTAGCCATAAACATTATGTTCCTTTCAATATTCCTATTAAAGCACATCAGATATGTATAGCAGAAAATCTTTTTAATCATTAATCATCCAGGCATGGCCCATGTATTCTCAGTGGTTTGTACCTCTGAAAGTGTGTATGTGTGGGTGTGGTGTGTGGTGTTGTTCATATTTATATTGAAAGGGGCAGTGATCCAGTAATTAAGTATTGTGTATTCCACAATATTGAGACAGCAGCGGCCAAGATATCCTGACTTTTAGCCCTGTGGCATGGATCCAAGCCCAAAAACACCGGATCCCATAATGCAATGTTCCAATGCTACAGTCACATCACAAAGTGACATTTGACCATCCACACGAGTGAGTAGCTTGGTTTACCATCGCACACCGTTACATCAAGTGCTCTTGTTAGCTCAGCCTGCAAGTGTAATTTATTTTGGACTCTGGCTCTCCATCCCCTCTAAGATAAGCTCAGTCATGTTAGCTTTCTGTTGGTTAATGGTGCAAATTTGCATGTCAGATTTTGAAAAGTGAAATTCCACACAGAACTCTCACAAAGATTGATTTTGCCTTTTAAATCTTAGTGTGTCCAGGTCTTCAGGTCCTCTCTGCTTAGTAAATACACGTCTTTCAAACTCCACACCTCCGCTTTGTAAATTAACCTTTTCTGTTACAGATTTGCACTCTCCAAACTCAAGCTGAGATAACCCTGATGATGATGTCATCAGGGGGTCAGTACTTCAGACTCCACAAAGCTCCTCCAGAGGCATAGAAGACATGATACAACTGAATAGTATAAGCAGATTTTGAGACATAAAATCATGTAGACCTTCACAATAATCCACACCATTGTGAGCAGATATACTGAAAACTGGTGGCTACTTTCCACCAGTGCACCTGCCAACCTTTCAGTTCAGTGCTGATGTTAGAAGCTTCACACAGTTTTTTTCCACTTTGCACCAAGTCAAACATCATTATGGACCGATCACACTGCAGTTAAGGCAGAAAATGTGTATTGTGTTTTTTTTTTGTTTGTTTTTGTCTGAACTGTCCCTTTAATACCTTGCATTAGAATCCCGTGCAGTGCGCGCTTCATCCGTCAGAGGGCGCATCCACTGCTCCCGGTTCAAAAAATATTCCCTGAAACTCACATTCTTGGAGTATGGAGCCACTTTAGCGAAGTGCGGACACACTATCCAAGTTTGCACGAGATAATCAGCACGTGCGAACCCTGTTCGACCAGCGGCTCAACACCTAGCCTGAAAGCCTGGACGCTTTCCCCCTCAGATCTGTACAGCGCGGGTCGGGAGTTGGGACCGCTAAACATCTCAGTCCGAAAGGGAAACGAGGATTGGGAGACGCGAGGGAGAGAGAGAGAGAGAGAGGGAGAGAGGACATGAACGGAAGGGAGGCAGAAATCACAGAAAAGCGAAGCTGTGTGAAGGCGTAACGCTGTTTTTGGGCGTGCGTAAAGGCGCGAAGCAAAGTAACATTAAACGGGTAAATGTAGACGCTTGATTCTTGTTTTCACTGGACATGTATCCGCGACCGCAGAGCGATGTTTAGATTGTGTTGTGGGAAGAGGGAGATCCTGGCGTTGTGGACAGACTCTTGTGTGTATTATCTCCTCTTTTTTTCGCTCTGGAAATTACTGGAAGTTCTTGTTTTTGACGTTTAACTTGTGAGGAAACGTTCAATGCGAACGCGGTAGGTGACTCCGGACTTAGATTTCAACAACTAAACAGACTTGAAACGCTGTTTTTTCCACATTGTGTTGTAGGCTGTGTGGTGTGGTTCACTGAAATGTGAGACTCTAGTGAAGTCGATAGGCTACATGACAAACCGCTGCATCCAGCTGTTTTATTTGCCACTGTTGTAACCCTTCATTCACGCCCTTTGTATTGGATATGTTGACAAAACTTTTTAAGAATGAAGAAGGTTCCCGTAGCCCGTCTCTGTTTTCTGCTGCCGCCTGCTGAGCCTGATTTGATGAAACGCTGTGATTATTTGAGTCATTCTCAAGCTTTCATCATTTCCATGTTGAGAGGAGAGGAGAGCTGACATGCGTCTGGGATGGGGATATAGTGCGGTGACGTACAGCTATTAACATAAAGTTGTGAAACTGCTTGATCACCGAGCCGATAGTGAATGATTGAGACATCCGGCGCTGGTAGGGAAGCGACCTTAGTGCCTGCGCCGTGAACCGCCGCTCTCAGCACCACTGTGAACCAGCTCGTGGACTCGGTTACTTTGCGAGGAGAGCCTCCGGGAGCCGCTATGGAGGAGTGGAGACAATGCGGGCGGTGGTTGATAGACTGCAAGGTCCTGCCCCCGAACCACCGGGTCGTGTGGCCCTCGGCGGCCGTCTTCGACTTGGCACAGGCCCTGCGAGACGGGGTGCTCCTGTGCCAGATGTTGCACAACCTCTCGCCGGGATCAGTGGACCTGAAGGAGATCAATTTCAGACCCCAGATGTCACAGGTGAGTCGTCCTCTGTGTTAACTTCAAACCAGCAGGTGATGTGTTTGATTCACACCTCCAGGCTATGTCTTGTGACTATGCACATCATGCTTGTATATGCATTGCTCTGCTTCTTATTCACACCTTGGGATTGCCTGGGCAGCCGGCGGGTACACAGAGATGTTCCATGCATTGCTTTGATTCTGTGGAAAGCTGAGTGACATTTTGCAGCATCTTATTCCTGGATTTCCCACTGTGGGCCCACAGATTTTACACAGAAACCTTCCTGTCACAACAAGCCCGCTTCATGGCCTCAGCGCAGTGTAGCTCTACTATCAGTACATCTGTGATAATACAATTACATACAGTAGTTAGGTGCTTAAACACATTAAGAGCCATTCAGTTTTGCACAGGTGAAGGAAGGAATTAAGTCCACAGACATCTTTAGACACTAAGGTGTAATCTTGGTGCTCAGCTGGCGGCCTCAAGGATGATCATACCTGTTTCCTGCAGTACTCAAATATGATATCAACCTGTGTACGATTGCTCATTGTCATGTTATCAGGAATATGAAGTGCCAACGAAATGAACTCACAGTGACAGCTACAACATCCTCACATTTACTTTAGATTAAAGGGTCTTAAGTGAGTATTATACAGTCTAGTTCCAAGTGCAAAGGGAGCAGGAATGATCATTAGCTTACTGAAGAGGAATTAAAAACGTATCAATCCTAGCTTCAGTTATTTGCAGCAGTTTATCTTTACTGTTGTTGACCCTTTGGAGCACCAGGTGGGTGTGGATGTTCAATACAGAGCTTGGACAAATGAATAAAAATGCTTGAAAATCAGTGCTTGATGGTTACGGAAGGTTTAGCTGATACTCTCCAAATCCTTTTGGTTTAGCTGTAGCAGTGCTATCATAAGGTGGCAGCGATCTTTTATATTTTACCCGTGCCACAAAGCGGCATAGGGGTGACAAGAGGAGTAACCGCCTTTGTGTATAATTAGACTCAAAGAAAACATGAGTCTACATTGTGGTGCGATTATAGGTTTGCATTCTAGATGCCACACTCTGGAAAGCTCCCTCTCCACTTCAGCTCCCTCATATTTCCAAAGCCAATACGAGGAAGTGTCGGGTGCCACAGGAAGTTTACGTGACCACAGCAGTAGAGTAAAAGTGCACTGTGGCAAACCTTTCTATTGACTTTTTTATCCACCCCGAAGTCCGCTCTGAAGTACCACGTATGGTGATAAGTCAGGGAATTGATCACAGTTGCCCGCATCCTGAATTGTTTCAGTTATTGTTATCGTCGTGCCCCGCAGAGGCCGAAACAGCTATCATACCACAGCAATTGCCCACTGACAGCACATTTGTCTGATATTCTTGGCACAACTTCCAAGACCCCGTTTCTGTCATAACAATGTGTGAATGTCTGGCTTTCACTCTCTGTGTTGTTTGATTTCTTGCTTTTCCGTCATGTTTGAAGAAGTAATGAATTGATTGGTCCATAAACAGAGTTGTATTTGACAACAATTTTTTGATAATGAATTAATCTTTGTGGTCATTCATGAAGAAAAAAAAGCCAAATATTCTGGTTCTGGCATCCCAACAGTGAGAATCTGTTGCTTTGTTGCTTTCTCTGTTTTGTATCAGTGTTAATTGCATATTTTTGGGGGGTTTTGGACAGTCTGTCAGGCAAAGCAAGCAATTTCATAACATTACATCAGGCTTTGTGAACTTGTGATATTCTTTTCTGACACTTCTTAGACTAAATGCTTTAATGTAATAAAACTGACAAATTAATCAGGGAAAATAATAGTTAGCTGCAGTTCTAGTCTCCAGTCCTTCTCTATTTGGCTACTGAGCAGCGGTAGCTTCATCTTATCAGCTCCAGAAGCTACTGACTTCCATGATTACAAGGCGAGAGAGAGGTCTGGATGGCATGCTTTGATCCGCCCACTAATCCCATGCTTCCCAGTCCCACAGTGTGGATCTGCAGTGAGGGTGGAAGGGGTGTCCTCAGTGACAAATTGGGTTAAACAAAATCCTGGCAGCAGAACAGTGGTATGTGATTTATCATAAGAAAAAGGTCAGAGCGCATGTGCTTTAACACTTAGAACACACAAGAGTCAGTGGCTCAGCCAAATGAAGAGGAGGTGAGGCAGAGCGATTACATTATTTGCTCTGGGCAAAATTTGTCTTTCATCAACGGCTGCGCGGTGATCGATAGTTTCCCCAAAGTTGAGTTTTGTCTCTAGTTATACCTTGCTGTGACACATTTAGTATCCTTAGATCTGTTTGACACAGGAAGTGTGTGTTAACATTGGTTGTTAATGCTGTGTGACTTGAATCAGACTGGTCTTTCAATGGAAGTGTAACTCTCATGTGCTTCTCCATTTTCTATTGACCCACTAATTTTGTTCAGTTGCTGTTGTTAGCCGACCCTAATCACAATAATGCTTTAAACGTTGGCACCAATCCCAGTTTGTGCTCCAGTGCGTTATTGTGTTTTAGTGCATTCTGTAGAGCACAATGGATAGTTTTTCAGATTTTGATGGTTTGTTAGTGGACGTTTTGGCATGTGCTACGACACTACAAAAGGTCTGTTTGATATTTGTCGTACCTTGTCGAGGAGATCCTCAGTTCAGACCAAACCAAACATGGGCTTTCTGTGTGGAGTTTTGCTCGTTCTCATGTCTACATGCGTTTTAATGCTGAAACAGTGAGTTGATTAATCGATTAGTCCATTAAAAGAAAACTTCTATTTTGGACATTGAGTGATTGAGTCAAACATCTGCTAACTCCTGCTTCTGTCATGCGAGGATGTGCTGGACAAAACAAGCAACTTTATGATGATGATGTGTGTTGGGCTCTGAGAAATTGTGACATTTATGATGACTGTTCATGACGTTTTGTAGACTAAACAAGTGAAAACAATCATTGACCATAGTGGGTCTCCTCCTACAAGTCATGAAGGTTACAAAAACTGACCCATAAATTGCCCATAGATGTGAATGAAAGTGTGGTTGTCTAGCTATATGTGCCAGCCCTGTGATAGCGTGGTGACTTGTCCAGGTTGTAGCCCGCCACCGGGGCTGGATCTATCCCAGCATGCACTATACTGGGATACATCCAGCCCCTGTGATGTTTAACAGGATATAACAAGGATAAACTTTGAGTTTATACAACTGAATTTTATGTCTGTTAACTTATTCCAAGTTAGAGTTACATTATTTTATATTGTCACAGCTTAGATTTTTATTTCAGTTTACTTTTACTCATGACAGCTTTTGCTGCACTAGCAGTCACTATAACATTTTTTTCGCAATATGACCACTATGATTAAAGTTCCTTGCACAACAAGGATGCAGGAAGTTTCTGAATTACAGACCTATCTTCATCACTTTATATTGTTTCACTTTTGAAAACCATCTGACACCTCAGAGACACAGTTATAAAACCACACAACAGCCGGCATCATGTAACTTTTTCATTTGAGAAAACAGAAGGCTCTCTGGGGAATTTTAATCTTGTAAATTTAGAGCATGCATTGCATATGCTGGGGAATATGTCAGAATAAGTTAACAATGTTTTCAAATAACTTCAGTTGATGAGTGAAGGAAACAATTGTATCTGACATTTTGTCAGCTGAACTCATGATTTGATGTTCTGAAATGGATAATTAAACAATGTAAACTTGAAACTGACATTTAACATATTCAACATTAAGTTAATAATGAAAGAAAAGTTTATTTAATATAACATATTATTTTACAGTTGAAAGGATAAAGTAAACACGGACTGAAAATTTCATGTTTTCCCAAATAAAGACCACAAGTTAACAGAACCGGCTTTATTTGTAATGAATCACATGAATATTCAAGATTATCAAGACTGTTACTTTTGTTGAAACAAGAGATGAGTTTGATTTGTTGGTACAATTTTATTTTTTGCTTAAAATGCTGATAATTTAGGAATATAAATATATGTGAGCGTGGGCACAAGAACTCTGAGTTCAGACTTCTCTGCTTTGTTGTGGACAGGAGGGGAGGTGATGTGGCTCCCAGAAAGAAGCTATCAAGATGACCTTCATTTGGGTGGTCAAAAAAAAATCCCAGTATTGTATTTTAAAGGGTAGTGAGGCATTTTTCTCTACCTCAAGGTTGTAAACGGATGCTTAATGAGCACTGGTGTTTGGAGATGTTTCAGAGCTCAAAGTGTACATATCTAGAAGCCGGTGCCTCAGGCTGTGTCTGAAAGACAAAGACTGAGCTCTGCTTTCTCTTTTGCAATGTTTTTTTTTTTTTTCTCCTGTTAGTGAGGTAGTTGTGAATACCTTTGGGATGAGTCAGATGGATATGTTTGTGTGTGCTGCTGTGCTTTTGTTTCTGTGTGTGTGTGCGTGTGCGCACACGCTTGCTTGTTATGTGTATGTCTGTAAGTGTGTGTGTGTGTGTGAGAGATGTTACAGTACCTGTGTTCAGATTGAATCACTGTTGGCTGAGCCCAGAGCTCTCCTGGAGCCTCTCTGTGCTCTGCGGGGCTCCAGATCTCACACACAGCCTGCTGCTTCCACTCACGGTAATTGAGATTCTTCCTCTTTGTCCTGCTCCCACCAGATATATTGGCTGCTGCTGGCAAGTAACCAGAGCTGATCTGAATTATGGGTTGTTAAATTCTGCTATCAATATGCTGGCAATGGAAATATAAACAAGGATAATCATGAATGTATCAAATGGGGTTCCATCCACTTTCATTTTCAGGTAGTTTTCTAATTCATGCCAAAACAGAAAAGAAACAGTTAAAGCTTTTTTTTTTTTCTTTTTTTTTTTTTTTTTTACAGGACAGAAACACCATGAGCGAAGTGGATTAACTTGTACAGCACAAAACTGAAAGTCTGCCTCTTGAAAGAGAATTTGAGATTAAACGCGTTCTTGCCCACCTGCTGTGGGGAATATTGTCATAAACCAAACTGCTGGTAAAAATAATTGAGAATTCAGTAAGGAGTGGTTCTCCAGAAA